ACATACAACAGTGAGGATTCGCTGGTGGTCACCCACCCAACTACTAACTCACCGGCGTGTGGCTTAAGTACGGCTGAGCGGACGGGAAGCCCTGTTTTCCACACCCTATGGTCGTATGTATCAAACTTGAAGTGGAAGAGAATCATAAAATAGCGGCTTGTGCGGGAATGGGTTATGGGTGAATGAGCTGTGGAGAGACTTGAGATATATGCGGAGTACTCCGTAGTTCAAAAGCAATTCCACGGAGGATATCGAAATTCAAATGGTAGAATTATCTCCTGGAACAAGTATGTAATCGTTGAGTGTCGGATGTTCGTAGTAAATTACTGCATTCCCGATCATGTGACTTTCATTACAATACGGCGCGTTATTTCTAGAAGTTCCAAATCTACAGAAGCGTGTGAAGCAATTCGCATCCCATGTTAATATTTCGGATCTTTTCATGCGAGAGTTTATAGATATTCAGATAGATGTTTTATAGAAATATATCGGGCTACGTAGAGCTCACCTGCAGAAAGATCCTCTTAAACCTCGACGTCATATGTAAGTATTGCGTCATGTCATGGACCCGTGTTCCTTTCCCCATCCGCGGTCCAATTTCCGCGATATCTGGAGGTTAATTTAACCGCACACCACACACACCACTTAAGAATTTCGCCCCTTTAACTTAACATCCATTACCTTGCAACACACTCTAGCAACCATGCTCGCCACTCACTGGCTACCAGCTGCCCGGCTGAACATCAACCAAGCGCGAAAATTCTCCCTCCTTTCCACCCATGCTTCATTCCCCGCGACCATGTATAGATACCAGCTAAATCGCAAGGCCACACTATATGATGTGACCCAGGACGAGACCCGCCACAGGAAGGATGCAGTCAGCGTGTCTAAGGATGGGTTGGTTCACGCGACTATCGCGAAGTCAAGCCCCTGTCTGTAAACTCCTGTCTAGCACTTGTGCAATAGAGTCTTACCATCTACCTATTAGACTCCAATGGGCCGGTCTTCATGCCGAACTCTCGTCTTATGCAGCAAATGCTACGCTTTGATTTTGAGCGGTACCAGGAAGAAGTCACCGACGGGAAATGTCGTTTGGACCCCACTGTTATCTGCGTCCCACGAGGTATGCTGTTTTCCATGTTCAATCTTGTTTGAAAGCTTATAATTTTAGGTACTCCCATCCCGTCCGCGCTGGTACTATGGAGAGAAGGCGCGTCTCGCTTTTCACTGCAACCTTCAAGCCCGATGGAAATTGAAAGTGAGTCTTAAAACAAGACACGGGAATGGATTGGACGAGTATTAATGATTTATAGAGCTGAACGAGGTGCTTAGCGAGTTCTATGAGAAGTCTGCGACAGTTGTCGGTGCAGAGGAATGGATTGAGAAACATCCATACCGGGAGAGTATTGCCGACGAGAACGAGAAAGAATGGATGGAGGTGTAAATGTCCGGGTTCTTGGTATGATGAAAATGCATGGATGGCATGGCATTATCGGCTGCATATTAGGTACCTTTTACTGCGTTGGCATTCGGGCCACCTGTACGATAAAGCAAGTTAATGTATCGTGAGCTAGAGATTGAGTTATTATATCACTCTTGATTTGAGAGCCAGTATCCCGCCAGGAGAGAAAATTACGCAAGTCGGCGAACATACCTACTCTACCGCACAAAACCTACCTGTCAATATCTGAGTGTCAACAAGCTCCGCAATAATTGATGATCCACACCTGATTCGAAGTTAGAAATTCTCGGTCATTTGAAAGTATTTGACATGATGTAATGCATTCCCAATGGCAACTGAGCCATTGAACCTGCTCCAAATTCGCGGGGAATTTGTCAATAAAAGCCAGTCTTTGCTTACCGGAATCAGATACCTCGGAATCGTACATTGAATGAATTCCTGCTGAATGCAGTCAATGAAAATTGTCTTTGCCTCCGACCACTTCAAGAAACCAAAATCTCCTCTCCGAAAGTACAATGATCTGATAACCTGATCCGTTAAACATAAAGCTATTCATATTAATTCTACCACTACCAATAAGAGAGATAATTTAATTCTAAAAACTGCATTTCAATGCTAGATGGTAGATAGTATCTGTTACATGCCAGATCTATCCAGAGGAAAAGAGTGCAATTTCATCCAAATTCTAAGTACAGGAGAAGAAAGGAAAAGAGAAACTATCTGTGCGGCCGTTCCTCCCCTTTTCAAATTTGCAAAAGATGCAAAAGTCGAGTTCTTCTCGCTTATTCCCAATGCTACTTGTGGAAGGAGCGAGAGTGTAGGTGCGGCAAGTGCGAGTGTCAGTTCAGCAAGTACGTTCCTTCCTGGATCATCACATAACCCCCGGCTAAGAATGCATTTAGCCCCTAAATGCGGGTTCATCATCGTCAACGTGGACCGGTATAGATCTACTGATCTGGAATGAATCTCTGTAACGACCATTGACCTGTTTTCTGCCATAGAGGCCTTCAATATCGTAACTGTAAGATATGAACTTAATGCTTTACAATTTATTGCGTCAAAACCAGGTTCTAATTGAAGCCTTCGCAATGGTCGGGTCTAGGATGGAATGACCCAGTTCACGATTGACAGGGAATGGGCGACCAAATTCAACATGGCAGATCTTGAGCAGGTGGTTAAGCAACATATGAATGAGTGCATATATTGCAGGGCAGTAAGAATGAAGACAAAAAGATTAGAAATACATCGACATATCCCTGACGTGGAAGATACAATCAAGATGCGAGATTCAATTCGGGATACTCCGGGATATTTTTCCAATAGTCGTCTTGTTGGGAATGGGGAAAGATGTCATTGATTTTAGACACTGCCCACATCACTCTTTGCATAGACCAAACTCCGAGCTGCGAAGATGGAAAGAAGAAGCCGAAGGTTGTAGATGAGAATCGCTGACAATCATTTATAAAGGGTCGCATCTTCTCTTCATAAGATTTGAGTGCCCCAGCGATGTCATTGCCCCGCCGCGCCAATTCTCCTGCAAGGACATACGCCCCAACAAGGCAAAGATTGGTTCCCAAGCCCGTAAAAGGACTGGGGCAGTAACCCGCATCTCCAAGGAGAACGACTCGGCCAGCAGACAGCTGTTCCATCTTGATTTGTCCAACCTCATTGGCATAAAAGTCCTCAGAAGCCTTCAATCCAGTGAGCAATCGATCAGTCTGCCAGTCGGCATCCCTGAACATCTCGGCAAAAGCTTCTTTCTGTTCCTCTAACGACTTCTGGTAAGATGCTTTTAGCCTGGACGATTCTTTCATGGTGAAGAGTAACACCCCGGTGACTGGACGATCACTCGTTCTGGTTATCATCATTCTTCTTCCCGGAGCCAAGTGGCCCCTTGCGAGAGATCCTTCGCCTTCAATTCGTGGGATGCTGTAGTAGGCAGCGTGGACGCCGAGGGACTTGAAAGCTGCATCGCTAACCTCCTGCCCAAAGGCGAGACGTCTGGTGCGCGAACCTTGTCCGTCGGCAGCAACAACGAGGTCATATCGTTTTTTCTGCCCACCAGAGAAAGTGACATCGACACCTTCCGTGGTCTCGTCGAGGGCTGTGATCGTTTTGTCGAATACATATGTCACTCCCTTCCCATTTCCCGACTCATGCTTTAGCTCTGCATCTTGCTTGATACTGGCATCATATAGCACTCGCACCAAATCACCACGCATGATCTCGTGCTCGCTTGTCAACCCGGGACGACGTTGACCGGAGGCAGCAGCACCAAACAAAGCAATTTGCTTTCCCGTGGAATCCACCATTTCAAAACCAGTCTCGTTCACACAGCGTGACTTGACTTCATCCAGGAGGCCCATCTTTCTCAATATATGAGGAGCTTGAGTCTTCAGGTCAATTTGCTGTCCTATCGACCGCAAAGAGGGAGAACGCTCGACGACCGTGATGTTGTGTTTGGAATTAGACCTTTGGAGAAGAATTGCGAGAGCTGGGCCGCAGACGCCGGCACCCACGATGAGGACGTTGAGGGGCATTGTTGTTGATTGCAGAGCTGGGAGGCGTCTACTGCTCAGGTTGCGTTTCGACGCCCTGATAATGTGTAAGTGACTGCCTGCATGAAGGGGTACATTTTCTGAAGCCGAGCGAGGATGCCATATGCATCTAGCTGTTTCAGCAGCCCTTGAAGGAATTTGTAAAAAAAAGAGAGGGAAAGACGCATTTACGTACTGGAGAAACATCGGGGGGGGGTATTTCCTTGCTGCTGCGGCTGCAAGATTGCAGGTGGTTAAATCAGAGAAGATAACTTATGATCTGGTACTGATGAAAATAACTAGCTGATTATTTATATTCTACGCTATCAACCGAGAAGGTACCCTGCCAGTAATTATCATTGTAGTCGACCGGCGGGCGTAATCGGCTCTATCGGCCTCATCGGTAAATTCTAGCCTTACGGCCGAGGATTATTTCACTGAAGTGGATAGCATCACAGGGCATTCCCTCGCCCATGATAAGCTAAAAGTACTTGTGTCTAGCGCACCTCTTGTTTCTACGCAATTCGATAGGACATTGTTTCCCGAGCCACATGGGGTATGAATTAGAGCTAGTCGGTATGTGAAGATCACTGAAGCTGCATGGAGCGAGAGAATTGCAAATGTCATCTTTATGCAGCTTTCGAAACATCTTCATATGCAATGTCAATGAGTGATTTCTCTCCTGATTCTAAATGTAAGCCCTGTTTCCCCTACTACAGATCTCCCACCCTTCTGTATACCGATGCCTTCTATCTACTACAATTGGCTAGTTCTAAGCCAGGGCCCCACCTAAGTCTTGGCGTCGGAGATATCGGATTATAGATTTAGCACCGAGCCACTTCACTACGCGCAGTTCACCGAGTTCGCGAGTTCTTATCCTAACTTATACACGAAAAATACCAGTAGAAGTGGGACCAATAGCATCTGCAAAATGCAATTGTCAACGAAAAGTCCAGAAAGTGGCATCCGAAAACGCCGGCGCCCGGCTCATTCTTGCGTCGAGTGTCGCCGTCGCAAGGTCCGATGCGACCGAGCCAACCCTTGCAGCCAGTGTGTCGCGCATAACGCCCCGTCATGCACGTTTACAGATAACCGACGCATCACATCCGACCATAATTTGCGCGAAAGTCAAGCCACCAAGCAGCAGGAACACAGAACGTCGATAATACCTGACGGATCCCCCTCTAGCAATATCTCCCCACCTACCCCTGCTCCGTCTGGCCGAATCCATGGCACCCAATCTAAGACTCGAGTTTTTGGACAGGGCCATTGGATGAGTACAAAGCGCCTGGTAAGTGATGGTCTCTTCCTGTTCCGTATGGTCGGCCCCTTGTTGACAGCCCACCCAAGGCCACCGAATTGTCCATTCTAGGGCCAGTCATGGCATATCAGACTACGCTGTTTCAACAACCGATCGATGCGAACCGGGGGCTTATGTCGCAGAAGATGGCAAAATGTAAAGAACTGGCCCGGGAAATCAAGAAGCAGCGCCCAAACAGACAGAGCCTTCCCGCTGAAATTCACCGCTCATTCCCCGAACGTCAAGTCATAGACGATCTCGTTCAACTGTACTTTGCAACATTTGAGTCATGCTACCGCATTCTTCATCGCTCTTCGTTCCAGGCGGACTATGAACGCTATATCGATCATCCGGAAAGCGCAAAGAGCTCCTTCGTTGTGGAGCTCCTTCTCATAATTTCCGCCGCTGGTCCGTTGCACAGTCATGGTGAAACTCGCCGTGAGTTGGCCGAAAAGAGTATTTCTTGGATCAATATTGCCCAAACATGGCTCTCCGCACCGTTGGAGAAAGACCGCTTGACATTAAAAGGCATTCAGATATATTGCTTATTACTCCTTTCCCGCCAGGTAAACCGAATAGGAGCAGACTTAGTCTGGGTCTCCGCGGGATCACTAATGAGGATGGCCATGCAGATGGGCCTACATCAGGATCCCAACTATCTGGGTGATATGGACTTCCGACAAAAAGAGATTCGGAGAAGATTATGGTATACCATCCTTGAGATGAATCTTCAGGCGGCATTGGACTCGGGGATGGCCCCGATGATTACCGAGAGCGATTACAACACTATGCCGCCATCTGGAATAGAAGATGCCGACCTAGATTCTGCAGTGAGCGAAGACCGGGAAACTATAGCTACGAGCTCGACTCGGCAGCCGCTTCTGTGCGTGTTGGCCAGTTCTTTCTCTCTCAGACTTAGGGCCACCAGGGTCATCAACAGCTTACAGGAAGAACCCTCGTATCATTTGGTTTTAGACCTTGGAAATGAGCTGGCTTCGATCTGTCGCAAAGCTGCGGTTGAGATCTCTCACAATCTCTCTGAGGAGCATATATCGTTGGGAAGCCAATTTGCATATAGCTTTTGTAGTCATCTCCTGAATCGGTTTCTTCTTTGTCTTCACTTCAACTACGCGATACAGGCGACACGAAACCCACTCTATGCACACTCACATAAAGTTTGTCTTGAGGTTGCCCTGGATTTGATATCGCTCCTCGATTATGATCTCTATAGCCGGTTGCTGGTCAATGGGGGTGGTATGTTTCGGGACATCATCACACGTGGTGCATTGATGATATACCTGGAATTGCACAAAAGTCATGAGTCGGATATTTCAATTCTGGCCAAGAGAAGAAATCGCGCCCGACAAGAGCCATTACTTAAAGATGCTCATCGGGTTGTTAGGTATGCAAAGGACCGGATGTGCCAAGGAGAAACAAATGTGAAAGGGTATTTGTTTCTGAGGATAGCAACGGCTCGAGCTGAGGCTATGCTTGATGGTTTACCGGTCGAACAGGCTATGGAAAATGCTGCGCTCGAAAGCCTGAATGATTGTGAGACCATTCTGGGCAACATGTCGACAGATCTAAGCAATAATGGCGGCGACAGTGATGCCGAGGCTTGGAGGCATGAGGAAATAATGTGCACTCCTACAGCCTTCGACGTTGGCCTCGGTTTTTTGGATGACGACAATTTCAGCTTTGATCACTTGGACCCATCAATATTTCAGAATTTGACGGATCCGTCATTTTTCTAGCATGGAATAGTTGAAAGCATCAAATCCGCCAACACTATGGCGCGCAGATTCTTTGTTGACAGGCGACTCCTCAAAATACGTCAGTATGCTTCGGATGGTACAGTCATTCTCGAAATTGCCTTGATCAGTACAAGAGACTTCTTCTGCCAAAGCCCTAGCGCATATCATTTATTGGGCGGGCCACACTAAGTTGGTGACCGCTGTGTGCCTGAGTGGTTGAAACATATTCAACTTTAGCGACAATTGCGGCAGGGCCAGGTGGAAGACAGTGAAGCTTGCAACACCCGGTTGCGAGCTGGCAGAGCGCTCACTTCTGGTTTCCTGTACCGACTTTGCATAAAGGCTGAGTGTGCTCGCCATATGGTCGCTTGTCATCTCAGTGTACCTACATGCAATTATGAGTGCCATTCCAAAATTTCCCTCCGCTGATCGACGACTGCGCTTTCGCAATCGATTGCACCGTGCATTGTCCCTGTCCCCCTCCGAATCCGAGGACCCGAAGCCCCTCAAGCTTGACAGAAGGTGATACCGCAGAGGACAAGTCTTCTCAGGGAGGGAATGACTGCCCTAGCCCCCGGGGACGGAGGAACCCCGCGGGCAAAATCGAGAAAAGTTGCTCCACAGGGCTGGGATATGTGACCAAGGCTTAACGGGGAGCTGAGAATACCACAAGAGGCTGATCTCTCTCGGAAAGGCAACATGATCGCCTTCAAATGCACCGCAGAGTGTCAAAGTCAGGAAGATGTCGCTAGCCTAAGTAGAGATAGATAGAAAGCCTGGGCCCATCCACTTGAAGCCGGGCAGATTGTCCAAACTTAGGTAGAAAGGCATTAAATCAGGAGAGTTCCTCGAGTCTCATATTCTGTAGGCTCATCTCTATTCGAAAAAATCCACCGAGGATTATTGTAATATATCAAGTTGGAGAGCACTATTGTTACAGCGATTTTACTACTGTCACAGTGGGCTAATCCTAATTAGGATCCATCCCTCTAAAACGGGAAGTATCTAATTGGTCTGTGTTTTCCAAAACCCAACCACCAAACTGTCAAGTAAAATCTTGAACAGCTTTCGCTTCATTGAGCTACATATTGTCCAGCTTAGGATGCTTCTAAGAACGGTGAGGTGTACTTATTTTTGTATAAAAAATAAAAAAAATTATAGTGCATCATCCGTGAATCGAACACGGGCCTCGTCGATGGCAACGACGAATTCTACCACTAGACCAATGATGCTAGTTGATATATTACGGTCAACTATTACAATACACAAGGTAGTCAGTACTTTCCTCTTCCAATGTTAATTTCTATTGACTGCTAGAACTGTTAGAACTGTTCATTTACTTTTTTTATGATATGGAAGCATACTAGATTATTTCTTTCTTTCGGTACGCGTAACATTCCTTATAAGATAACTATTACATTCACAAATACGAGTTTGATTGAGGAAATACATGTAGTGCCTAGGTATCTTTGTATAGACATGAACGAAATCAGCTTGGCGGCACAGTCAAAGGGTGAATTCCTGGCATATCACACGACTACGTAGTCACAAATGGATATTCAGGTGCTCAAATATCATCCCGAAGTCCCTGGGGAACTCTCATCGGCCATAATGTCAAAGTTCTCTATGGCAGAGAATATGCTCGATGGGTCCATACGAGAAATGAACTTTTTCGACTCCTCCTTCTTCAAAGAGCCCAACAAAAGCCTCCCGACACCCGCACAGGTGAGAGCTTAAAAGAGGCTTGGGGGATGCACAGGTGTCCTAGATACAGCGTCAATTCTTGAATAGGCATAATGTAGGCAATACCCGCTAGCAATGATTCCAATTGCTGATAGTTCTATGGTCCGCTTAATCTGACAATGTCTTTTATGCCGAAGAACTGCGTCATAACAAGCGGTAGATATCCCCTGGACCGTTTCCAATAGATCGTCGGAAGAGGTAGTATTCAATGAACTTTCCATCTTGTTATCATTTTGTCACCATCGCTACTTCTAACGGGCATTTTAAAACCTAACAGAAAGCCTTGAACTTTTTGTTGAACATCCGTTGAGCTGATACCAAAAATACATTAATTGATTCTACCTAAGTAGACCTCCAGAATCTCCTCCCCCAAGTAAATACAAGTATACACCTTCCTAATATATGACCAATAACCAGCGGGAGTCCAAAGCTGAACCATGTGAAAGGCTGCGTGATCATGGCCCTCGGCGCTACTATCGCATCGCAAAGGCCATTTTCTGTAGCTTGATTTACCCCTAGCTTCCCCGTAAACGCCTCAACAGCCTCTAGCATGATCATGACCGTCATTTCTGGTTGACTCAGAAAGGGCGAATGACTCGTTTGAAGCTCCCTATGCTCCACCCTGCCACCAATTTCCTTTGCCATGCCAATATTTATGCGTTGTACCACTACCGGCAAACCTCGGTCCTCGACGGTGCCAATATACCAAACAGGTACATCTCTCCAACCGGCGTATGTGTATTCCCCGCCCTCGAACAGTGCTTTGAGGCTTTGCGTAGTAAGTTGCGAAACCCAGAATTCTGCCTCGTCTGCTGGCAAGTCGTGATAGAAGAGCTCACGCGGAGAAGTGACAAGTTCGGCATATCCGGTCTCATTGTTGACCCGCCAGGATGGAGGGGGATGGCCGAAAAACGGATCCATGAAGGCAAGTCCACTTAGGGTAAATCCAGAGGCTATGAGAATTAGGCCAATAACATAGCCCGTTGTCGAGATTTGATTTTGGGTTTCGGTGAAGTCTGGCTGCGTGAGACCCTTGATGGCACTATTGCCAACCATGCCGCCATAGGAGTGCGCAACGACGACGACATTGCGACTGTGGACTGTCTCGGACAAAACAGCTTCACGTGCAGCATCAAGATCATCTTTGAAGGTTGCAGCTGGGTTTCCCGTCGTCGAAGGCAGAGTTATGGAGATGCATTTCAACTTATGCTGGTCTTGGAGGAGCTTGATGACCTTGTTGTAGCATGTAGGTTTATGCCAGGCGCCAGGTATGAAGACGAGCGTCGGTAGAGTGGACATTTCAGAGTATAGGCGATACTCCCAGAAATGTTGTATATTTATTTCTGTAGGATATAGGGCTTGGATAAGAATTAAGCCGAAGACATAGGTGGAGTCACGTACTTTCATTGGTCAATGCGGTTCCTGCGGCTCCGATGCCAGGCGGCTCCGTTCTGCACAACATACCAAGAGGGTTCTATCAATCGTATGGCAATTTGTTATAGAGGTTGAAATAAAGATGACCTTAGTTATTCATATATATTGATATATCCTGTATCTCGAACTTTAGGACACAAATATATATTCTTCTTTTCTTGAGTCTTCTGTTATTGTGAACAATACCAGGAGCCTGAAGGCAACAAGCCGTCGAAATCATGTTGACAACCATTTTCCTCCTTGCTATACTCTTTTTCTGCATTTTCCTCTTAAATATCATTCGGACGCTCTATTTCCATCCACTTAGCAACCTCCCCGGTCCGAAAATATGGGTTGCCTTTCCTATCACTCGTTTTATTGCCCTTTCCCAGGGTCGATTGGAAACCAAAATGCGAGATTTTCACGAAAGATACGGTGAAGTCGTTCGTTTTGGCCCAAACGAAGTCTCTTTCATCACCGCTCAGGCATGGAAAGACATATATGGTCATGGCCATCGACAACTACCAAAGGTGCTGCATTCAACCAGTAATCCGTCCGACATTATTAGCGCCAACGATGCAGATCATAGTCGTCTTCGCAGGTCCTTGGCACATGCCTTTTCTGCGAAAGGCCTGCAATCCCAGGAGCCCATAATCACGAAGTATGTGGATCTCTTGATTGAAAAGTTGAGAATCATTGCCGCCTCGCCCATTCCGGAAGCCGATATGGTAAAATGGTACAACTTGACCACTTTCGACATACTTGGAGATCTCGCCTTTGGCGAGCCATTTGGAGGATTGGAATCTTCTAAATATCATTACTGGGTATCGACCATCTTTCAGGCAATCCGAGGCATGTCCCTTGTGAGCTTCAACGATGCCTATCCGTTTTTGTTCAGAATATTGTCTCTCTTTGTTGATTCGAAAAGCCTGATGAGTGCACGGAAAAGACAAATCGAATTTAGCAGAGCCACTATCCAGAAACGTCTCCAATTTCAGGGTGACAGAGAATGCACAGATTTCATTGACAGCATGCTGCGGCAACGCGGAGATTCAAACAACGAGATTACCGAGGAGGAGTTAGAAGCGAACTCTAATGTCTTGGTCATTGGTGGCAGCGAGACGACAGCTACTTTACTTTCTGGAATTACTTACTGGCTGCTGCGAACGCCACACGCCATGGAAAAACTCACTCGTGAAATAAGATCTGCTATGAAGACCGAGAAGCATATCACAATCTCAAGCACCGCAAATCTGCCATACATGCTCGCATGTCTCAAGGAGGCATTGCGAATTTATCCACCAGCGCTCTCTGGACAGCAGCGGATAACGCTTGGGCCTGGACCAACCAATATTTCGGGCTACGTCGTGCCCCGAAATGTAAGCACCGTAATTCAATTGATATTCCTGTTTTCTTTCCACCGAACAATGGCTGATGTTTAGCAGACGAAAGTATCGGTCCATCAATATGCCGCATATCAGTCACCCATGAACTTTTATGCTCCAGACAAGTTTATGCCCGAGCGTTGGCTAGAGGATGCCAGAGATGACCTATCCTCGCCTTTCTACAACGACAATCGAGACATCCTCCAGCCGTTCTCAGTGGGACCAAGGAACTGCATCGGGAGAGAACTAGCATATAGCGAGTCACGAGTGGTTCTTGCACGGGTTCTTTGGAGCTTTGACTTGAAACTTCATGAGAAAAGCGGGGAATGGGACAAACAGCGTTCTTACTTATTATGGGAGAAGCCTCCGTTAATTTGTAAGCTGAAGCTGAGTGATAAAGATATCTGGAGAACAGCCCATGAGACCTAGCTGGGCTTTTGCTAAGCAAAATCAATTCAGCATGGATTGGGCGCCCGCCCTTCACTTATATATTTCGTTATAGTTATGACAGCATATTCTCTTCAACGTACTCTGAATAACTCCGAATAAAAAATTATAGTAATATCATTTCCTTGCAATAATCTCTCTGTCTTTACAGCCACTGGAAACTCATGTTCTCTAATAAAAAGGCGTTTCATATTCTTCCTTGGACAGATTTCGATACTTCTAAAAAGCTGGACAAGGGCTGCCTATTAACGGACCCGACGTACCCGGTCCCAGATGCTGTCTTTCCACTGTTCTGATCAGTGCCAGTCCCCTAGGCTGCAGCACTACTGTCAGGCAGTTTCGGATGATCAATCAAATCGCTGCGATAGAGGAAGGGATGGAATCGAGGACATCTGATTGGTAAGAAAATGAGACTAAGCATCTCGATGTGGAGATTTTAATTTCCGCCATCACGTGACATGAGACCGAATCGACAGCGAGTTTACCTACTTCACCGTGCACACCTGGGAATGCTGTATATCGTAGAAGTGATACGTATTCTTAGTCCTGCCCAGCTCAAAAAAACATCAAAAACATCAGTTTGGCCTCATCTATGGCCCCATCCGATCTTTTCGCTGTGGGTCTTGCGGCTTAAATTTCGGAATCGCCCCTGAAAATTTGGGGCTATCTACTTTTGTAATAGCAGCTCCATAGTTAACTAACTAACAAGACTTAAAGTTCGCTAATAGCTGTTGAAGTGTTGAAAATTCTGGGTATTTATAGGCTGCGAACACCCCAGTTCACTTTCGCACGGAGTCTATTCTTTCTGTCGCCGGAGACGCACCTCATTTCTCACCTTTCATCTGTTTTTATTGCTCTTTGGAATTCTTAACAAAACGATACCCCACCAGCATAATGTTATGCCTCTTCGCGTTTGCCGCTGCTTTGGGTCAGGCGACTGCTACCTTCAGTCTCGATACTGCCGGTCCTAGTTGGGACTATACAACCAAGGACTTGGCAAAGACAACATCACAGGCTTGCAAAGAGGCCTACAGCGCCAGTATCAACTGCGATGAAACTCTACTCAAGATCGTGGCGTCTATGGATCCTGACTTTGACCCGCAATCTTCCGATTTGGAAGCTATGTGCACAGCGACATGCAGTGTTTCATTGTCGCAGTACATCAAGAATGTTAATGCTGCGTGCAGCAAGGATGGCGACCTAGCTGGACTTGCCAGCGGCAATAATTTGATTTACGAGGCTCCCGTTGCCACAGTGGGCGAGGTTTTCCAGTACAAATACGGCCAAGCTTGTGCCAAAAGTGGGTGAGTTCGATACATTGTGGTTTCCTTACGGTATATGCATATGTTGATATTCTCGCAGGTCTGATTACTGCTTCTTGACTTATCCCGCTAGTGACGACTGGGCTAGAGAAGACTTCCCATGTAGCGACGAGTGTGCAATCAAGTTCTACCAAAACGCACACAAGCAACCTGGCTCTGGATATTTCTTCAGCTACTTTGTTCTTGGTAACCAATCATCGTACTGGGAGGAAACCTTTGCCGGTGGATGGGAGACTGTGGTTCAATGCGGCGATGGCGGAAGTGATGCAAGCTCCGCTAGCACGAGCGCAAGTTCGACAAAGACCGATGTCGTTGATATTTCATCTTCAACCAGCCCAATTAGCACCAAAATGGCCGATTCAACACCCTCAACGCCGACTGCATCGATGAACTCGATGACATCCACCACACCGGCTCGGGCTGCCTCTGAGGCTACTTCAACCACCGCAACTAGTGGCGCTTCCAGGCTCAGAGTTCCCTTCTTTTGAGATTTAGCCATAAATGTGCACCCTAGATATTTTCTAACTTAATATAACGATGAAATCTTGAATCTTGTCTTGAATCTTGTTTCGAGGATCCAGGTCGATCCCCCTGGGCCCATGTCCTGACTCACAAAGCCTGAAAATTTAGACCGAGTCTTCTATGACTACAACATTCTAAGTAAACCAACTAATAATATGTAACTATTGCAGTGAGGAAAATCGGAATCCCCACCTGCCATCTGGAAAGTATTTGATCATGACTACTACCGCACCGCAGCCAGGTTGACCCAACAGTGTGCTCTACAGAAGTTGATGGTTGCTCCGCTGGCCTACGCAGGCGTTTCCACAGCAAATAGCGCCATTGTCGCAAGGCCATCGAGGAGCTAACGATAAATGCCCAAAGCATCGAGGTGCCGAAGTTGATAACCCCTAAAAATCCTGAGAGATCGATGATGACTATTAAAATTTTAAATTTATCATAACATGGAGCAAGATGCTTGTTTGATACCTAAAACTGTTCCATTTCTTTTTGAAAGCATGGAGATTTGAGAAATGAGAGTGTGCGTTAGTACGAACTGGCCTGGAACCGTAATTTTCTACTTGTCGCTCATACTTTATCAGTCTCTCTAGATGAAACTCATTGCCACTATGAATAAATCAAAAGATATGCGGTCAGTTGCAAGCCCTAATAGAGCGCCAAGGCTTCATAGCTAGTATGTACTTACATGCGGTCACCTGATATTCGGGTATGAATACCATGTATCATTACGGAGTATTCCTTGACAGTTTCTTTCCTCTACAACTATTTACACATGTTCCGCTTTTTTCAGTCGCATTTTTTTCCCAGGAGAAGTCTCACATCACGAAGAATGCCGTTACAAAATCTTCCTCCTGAAGTGCTCGTCAAAATTATCAACAGTCTCCCTACTATGGGGGATGTTGTGGCCTTGTCGCACCAAAATCGAGGACTGCATAGTATCAGCGATGTCTCCAATCGCCAAAAATATCATGAATTTCAGCTTGGTCGAGAAGGACAGGAGAGTTTTACAGTTCAGCTGCAGGCTGGTCAGAACATGCTGCTTGAAATCTTGGCCAACCCCTCTCTCGGAGGCTATCTTCGTCGCCTAGTCTTGTATGGGAGTGAAACGGGCTCCGGCTTTTCTCCCTACGAATCCGAGCCCGTTCCTCAACGATCGTTTTCTCCGGAGGATATCCACAGACTCAAGCAGGCCCTCAAGAAGGCCGGCGTAGAAAAAGTCCAGGATAGAGAATCTATCCTATCCATCCTTTGGCAAGATCCGCTCTACTTTAGGTAATTATTTTCCCTCCATGCACGTCTCTTAATGTTATATGACTTACTCTGAAATAGGTCTCCCTCTTATCCGAAAGCAATCGAGTTCAGAGATGCGCTTATTATGATGCTAGCCGCAAATGCCCCCAACCTTGAATCCCTATCTATGTATCCCATAGAATTCCCTCAAAACATGCTCAAGTCACTTCTCCAGCGAGCTTCTAAAGCAGCACCCGGCTCAGTTCCATACTGCCAAAATCTCAAGGAGATCAACTTCCACCCAGATGATGCTCGAAACCAGGGCACGACATATGTGGAAGATCCATACTACGATCGCCTAAACGTGGTACGAAAACTGCCAGCTATTGAGTCCGTCACTTTCAAATTAGCATCGTGGGATAACAACGCAGGACTACCACTTCCACCGCACTGCGCCAATTACAGCAAGATTAGCTTCACACACTCCTTGATGCAGGAATATGATCTTTGTCGAATCATTGAGTCGTCAAAAACACTAAAGAGCTTCACTTTCACCGTAGATGGGCGAAAGGACCCGGAAGGGGGTATTACTATACTAAGCGTGGTGCCATTACTTCAGTCCCTTTGGTTTCATCGACATACCCTAGAGGTACTGGATCTTGACATGGAATCTTGTACGAATTGGCAAGAGTTTTATGATACGAATTACCAGCTGGATGAGAACGAAGGGCTCGATGAGGATGAACAGAAATTTTATGAAGAACAATACGCAGATGAGCTTCGTGATCTAGCCACTCACAAGCTAGAAGTTCCACCATCCTGTATCTCATTGAAAGATTTCCCGAAACTCAAGAGTCTCAGTCTCGGTGTCCACACTCTATGCTATCTTGCGCGGGGTGTAGGATCCAGCCGGGATCGATTCCCCGATGGTCGGATCAGGCCTCAATCCTTCAATCTAATTGATCATTTACCTCCCAATCTCGAATCTCTGTGTGTTTATGGACGGGGAGAGGGGCCGCATGGTTTCAAGTCGTCTGTCCTAGAGTCTGATCTAGATGTGGATGCTCAACTTGAACGACTATCGCGCGAAAGGGATTCCAAATCATTGAAGATCCTTGAAGGCATTGCTACTCCTATTCCAAATGGAAAGGTAGTGGATGACTGGGCAGATAATAACGATCGAACGCTTTATTGGAAGGATCCAGATGATAACAGATTTGACGATGAGGAGCGCATTATGCTGGAAGCGGAGGAAAAGTACAAGAAAATATTTGCTTGCATGAAGGACAGCGACCCCTACAAGCCTATGTTAGCTCGATATCTAGCCACATTATCTAAAAAATAGGAATATATTTGCCACCCGTCGGAATAGTCGGAGAGAATTATAAAGTGATTAATTCTTTCATCTTTGTACCATTCTTATAGGCGGTATGTATATTCCAGCATAAATCTCGCTCCGGGGTACGTACGACCTTCTGATTTATAATTGCTTCGCTTCGCTCCGCAATTAGTAGGGCGATTGTCACCGGGTTCTCACCCAGATTCTTATTCTGTCTATAGCACACCTTTTTACCCCCGTCGTGTGACCATAAAGCGGCGCTCACCCAATTCTCACCCTGCCTATCATTGTTGTACTCAGCCATTTATACAACCTAAATCTCTCACTCTATCTACCTCTCCCACGAATGTGATGATACATACGACCATAGGGTGTGGAAAACAGGGCTTCCCGTCCGCTCAGCCGTACTTAAGCCACATATTCTGCACGGCCAATACTCAATGTGCCCTCAGCACCTAAGCGGCACTCTAGGGTGAGTTCGGGTGATATGGGTGAGAAGTCTTGAGACTGGGGTGAGAGAGGTGAGAACGGGGTGACAATTCTCACCCTTGAGGTGATAGGGGCCAACTCACTCCAAACCAATGTCAGTCCTAAAAAAATACAAATAGTCAAGCCCCGAGGCGCTTCTCTTACTCTGCCATGATTTTCTTTGAATTTCTTTACCAGCTAAAATATGTTCTCCGAACAGAATATCCCGAAAGCACTCCAGGAGCGTCTTGAGATTCTATAAGGATCGCATGGTTTCTATTGGATAGTACTAGATACTAACTAGTTAACTATAAATTGCCAGCGGAGCCGATACAGAAATACAGAGAGTTGAAAACCCATTCATTAGACCCCTTAGTTCCGCAATACGTCTTCAACCAAGAGTATAAGATAACTAGAACCCGGATAGTTTGCCTGCACGCTCCCCCTCTCTCTTTCTCTTCGCGTCCATCAACACATACAGTGTTTTCTCTATTAGATCTTCATCTGTATTGTATCTATCCATGAAATGTTCACGAATAATCCCTGAGAAGTTAGAACAGTTATATTGCGTCCCGAAACTGGTGTCACTACCTACACTCTTCAATTGGTTCTCGGACTCTAATGCCAAGATATACCATTGATATACAGTGACGGTGCATAAGTTTGAACACCCTAATACTGCCCGCCCTAACCTCACCAATATTTAAAAGGTTGATCGGCGCATAGTGCGAACGGGGCAAGGAAAAAAAAGGACAAGATTCGGTGAAGCGCAATACTCGAACGACTCCTCAAAGGACCTTAGTGTCTGGCCAGGACCTGAAGAACTCGGTGAGGCCCTAGAGATCGGGTATGGCTACTTTCTGCAACACTCGTGTAGCCGATTGAATATGATCATGCGGAATCAGGATACAAAGGGAATCCATATGGAGAAAATAAAAAAACTTTTGTTCGAGGGAATCAGGGTATAAGAATAAAAAAAAAAAAAGAAGCAGAAAAGAACAGGGACAGGACAGAACAGAGCAATCAGAATTCTTCCTCATCGTCATCTTCCACCGCCTCCTCATCAAACTCCATATATGATTCAGCAGACGCCTCCTTTGAGTGGGTCTGAAGTGATGTTCCCTCTGACTGAGCGGGAGACATGGTCGCAGCAGTTCGGAACATATGCACAAGTATTCCTACCACCTCCTGATAATTTCCGTGACGGGCAGTAATGATATACTCTGACCACTATTCAAGTTAGAATATGTATGATTTCATGGTATAATTTACTCACCTCCGAGTCATTGTTAATCTTCAAGAACCACCAACACTGGCCATCAGACACAACACCATACACAGTTGCATCTTTCTTCTGGAGGTCTTTTCGACGTCTGTGAACGCAACCCATGTAGCCGAGAGTTTGAGAGACCCCGCTTGTCACAGATTCAACTCCCTTCGTTTCAACCACAACAACACTGACAGCCACATCCTCTTCATTGCCGTACCACAGGCTATAGTCAGGGCGCCCAACAAGGTCGTGCTTGGTGTCCTTATGCATGACGGGGCCATAACGCCAGAGGCCTTCGGCATTCAAGTTCAAGTCGTTCATGTTCATGTCTGAGGAAGTGGTGCTAGGTTGCGAGGTGACAAAATGATGGGCGAAGATGAGGAGGTTGTTGAGAGTGATCCGGGTTAACGCTTCATTGGGTCCACTTTTGCCAAACGCGTCTCTCGTCATGTCCATCCATTCAGCTTGGTCAAATCAGTTATGTGTTACATTGACTTGAACATTCCTTAAGGGATACGTACCGCAGACGGGGGACAGTTCAACCGGAGTTCTGTTACAGAACTCAAGGTTGTCCAATGAATGAGTGAGCTTGAGTAAAACTTGGACGTCGCCGATATTCAGGGAAGAGATTGCGATCGTTGGTCGCTCAAACTGGCCTTCCTCAAAGATTGATGTAAGGTTTTCAATATAGGCCTTCAGCTGGGTGAAGGATAGTTTTTGTGTCTTGCTGTGGAGGTCGAGCATGGCATCTTTCATTCTTTGTTTAGTTGGCGTTCTTTTCTTCGCAACTTTGAATGGTGTCATCTTAGACAAGCCACACGAAGGACAAGTTGAGTTGAGATGAGTTAAGCTAGCTTAATGAGCCAAGCTGAGTTGAGTTGCGTTTGAGTTACGATGAGTAGATGAAGAAAAATCTTAAGCTGAAACGCCAGGAGTGAAGAGGAGAGTTGAGAAGAGTTGAGAAGAGATGAGTTGGGATAGTGAGAGGAAGAAAATTTTCGAGAGGAAACGCCAGAAGTGAAGAGTATTAAATACTGAAGCTCTACCTACAAAGGCAAACATTTCCTAAATAGGCTTAGTAGCAAACTCATTTCTTTGTTTAATGATAATGCTGCCTATTTCCTAGATAGGCTTAGTAGAAAATCCAAGTGGGGCAGTTAGTTGTTCCAAGGTTGCAACCCTTTTCTGCATTATTTCGTGTAGCGTTGTCAGGGGCCAAACTGGGATCCACTCTTTTATCCCAGTTTGAGGCGGTATCAGAGGGCAGATGGAGGTAGACATAAATACCTTCATCTTTCCCCCTAAGATCTAGCTAGCTAGTAGGAGTTAATTGAGTTATTTTCCTAGCAGTGGAACCTTATGTAAGCCTAGTTGGCTATTTGTTATTAATCCCGGTTCGGGTTAGAACGGGTAGCCTTACCTTTTAGCCGCATAGTTGGTGACCGACGTAGGGAGTCCTACACCGTATACATTTCCCACTACCCTAGATCGCTTAGATCTTATTGGGAGGATCACGTGATTCCACGTGATGCCTCCATATGGTAGATAGTCCTAGCTAGCCTCTCCTCCTATTTCTCTTCTCTTGTAACGGGTTAGACCCGCTTCTCACTATATGGCCCTGCCATATAGCCTTCTCCCCGTACTTTATGGCTGAATGTAGGGATCGCGCTTAGATAAACAACAAATCAGGCACACATTTGATGTGACAAGATTATTGATTACAGATTGCTTTGTGGCTATGTATAGGTGCTAAGATGGCTAATGCCTGAAGGGTATGTGATGGTCCAATTATTACAAGGTTAATTTTGATCATGGTTACTCGGCTCGAGTGGTCGCGCGAATCGCGCGTCAGGGAAGATCTCACCTGGCCCACCTTCCCATCTATAATCAACTCAGCCTGCTCACTCCCTGCCGCGCGACTCAAAAGCGGCGCTCACTAAATTCTCACCCGGGCGGCATCCACCCGACTAATGGCCGCGTTTGAGCCTCACTCAAAATGGTCGGGCTGGCCAATAGTTTAGTCTAGCCTAAAGCTTTATGCGGAGAAGTGGTACGAATTTCGTCAGTGATATATGAGCGCTATCGGCTGCCATATGTCTCGTTTCCTATACCCGACACGTCACTGCCCAACAAATCTCATTTGGGCAGCGACGTGTCGAGTAGCGCTTCAAACACCGCCTTGTGATTACCCCTCACTTTTAGAAGTAAATGAGGGGTATAGTTCTCCAGTCTTTCCCACCTTGGCTCAAATACCGTCTTCTACTTCTTATCAACTTGCTCAATATTGTTTCTGTTTCTTCTCCTATACTTCTTTATTTCACATAGCGTAAAATTCTCTCCTTGAAGGACTTGGGAGTATAAATTTCCTCCATAACCAACCCAGACCCAAGAACAACAATGTCCCACGGCGGACCAGGCTTCCTCTACTGCCGCTACACCTACCGCTGCCCCTGGAAGAGCAAGACCGACAACATGACCGGGACAGAAGAGGTATGCCACACAGCCATATACACCCCCGTCACGAAACAAAGCGACGAGGGACAAACTGCGTGGTTCAAGAACCGCGCCATGGATTCAATTGAAAAGGATGTTACCAAATGCTTAGCCAATGTGGATCGTAATAAGAATGAAAAGACCTATGAAAGATTCAACCGAGTTCATATTAAATAGCAGGAGTTTGGGTATCGTGAAAAACTGCCTCCGCATACGGAAGGGAAGACGAAGGGGGAGCCATTTGGGAAGCAGATTTAGAACTTTTTTTTCGTCTTTCTTTTCTTTTTGTATTTTCTTTTCTTTTTCTTTGGAATCGGGGAACGGGTTCGAATATTAGCAAACTAAAGGATGGATTGGATTTATGCGTATATGCTAGACATAAACTAAATTATCTCGTCAGTCAACAAGCTGAATGCTTCCAATTGTCACTCCTATATCCAAGTGACAGCCCGGGGGCTTAATCAGCAACAGAGCTTGTAAATAGTGACTTTCATTACTTGCTCACTTGCCGGTTACCCATGATGTTCTTTCGATCGGTTATCCGGTTATCAAGTCAAATTGGTGAATGCTTTTTGAAGGGTTTCCAATGTACAGCGAACGGAAAAGTAGTGCGAGTGAATTGTCAGGATGACGAAACACGGTTTGAGCAATGTAAATGGGCCAAGAGTCTTTGGCAACTTTTTTTTTGGAGGGGTTTTGGGTGGAGATCAAAGAGGCGGGCATTCGGGGACATCAATGTAGAGCTGGACGATTCAATCCAATTTAAGACAAATGCTCCACTTCCGTAATGGATTTCCCGATCTTCTCAAAATCTGTCAACTTCGGACGAGGTATGCCTGCGATCCAGAGAAAACCCATTATTGCCTTGCTTCGTTGGTGGTATTATATTAGCCAAGGAGAATGAGCTTTGGGCTGAGTTCCTCGGGCCTTTGTATCAGTAAAATTCTTGTGTCCTACCCTGCATGGGCTGCCAACACATACCTGCATGATCTGGCCTTACCTTGTGTGTACCTTTTGTCTAGTTATCATGGAGCCTCTAGGGTATGGCTGTCCTTTGCCGAATGGGAGATTGGCGAATAAGGAAAAGATAGATGAAAGACTCTGCAGGTGATTCTAAGAGCGATGTTGTTTTGTGAATTGTAAAGTGATAATTCAGCTACCCATAGGATTGTGGTGAGTACGCCACTATATGAAACTTTAGCGCTAACGAAAACCACACGTGTCCTGGACATAATCCATTGGATGGTATAGCACCACGTGAATTCGCTGCTCACAGCTTAGAAGCACCATCTGTCTTGGAAGCGGTGATACGGTACCAAATTATGGAAGGTTTCTGACAGGACAGCAACTGATAGGAGTCCAGGATTACCAGGGATATCACATTTTGCTTCCAGCACACTTAGAATTGAGCGGCGCAGATTCGTCTTCCCAAACCGAAAACTCCTCAGAAGTGATAACCAGCTGAAATATGTAATAAGCCATCTACTGACTCATGCTGCATTTCAATCCTTGACACTAAATTGCCATTCAGGGCACAGATGGCATGTTTCGACCACTTTGCAGGACAACTCATACTTGCATTACCCTACTTATCCCTTATCCTCCGCATATATAAGATGTAGTCAGGCTTCCTCTCATCTTAATTCTTGATACCTTTCCTTGAAAATTTTATGAGAGTCACTTGATAGCTGGCGAAGTTGAAGACTGAAACATGGCAAAAAAGAAAACGAAGCAGCGTAACTCGAATGAGGAGCCTAAGCGACTCCTTACCCCAGAGGTCTCTCCTAAAATTGACTACTATCGACCTTTGTCATCGTGAGTTCTTCGAATAAGTCAAAACTAGCGTTTTCTGACCTATTTACTGGCCCTACGAGTTCCCTCTCGTCACCTTCATTATAGGGAGCAAGCAATATGGCATTCCCGCTTATTTCCTTCGGAATTACCTAAAGCTTACCCCTTCCTCTCCTGGGTCATCGACTATCATCATGCCTAATGTTAATGAAGATGTCGGGTATACCGTGCTGCACTTCTTATATACCGGCGGCTACGAGACAGTCAGCTCGCCTCTTGATGAAGGTGTATCAGATCTCGCCAGAGAATATAAGAGGAGCGTTCTAGTCTATTATGCATTAAGGACTTGGGGCCTAACTGACCTTGAAATCCTTGCTAAGCAGAAGATGGAGCACTTAGATAAGGACCTTCCTATTCTTGAAATACTGCGGGTCGTGAGGGACGTGTTTTCAAGACTTCCTGCAGATGAAACCTGGCTTCCAAGTTACATTCGAGGAAACCTGCAGCGACTACCAAAGCCTGAAGTTGCAGGGCTTGACTTACACGCATTTTACAATATTCTCGGCCAGGACCATCAATTTGATAATGCAGTGATGAAGATGATTCTCGAGATGCTATCTATTAGCTTATGTTCTATGAAAGATCAGCACGGTAAATTATCTTCAACATATTCAACATATGGTAATCAGACTGAACTAATTCTTTTGGGAATCATTAGCAAAGATACTGAACGGCATCATTTCAGAAGAATCCCCTCTTCGAGGGCCATCCCCTGAGGATCCTGAACCTGTCCCCGAAGAGCCTGAGCCTGAGCCTATCTTCGAAGAGGCTGTACCAGAGCCTGCCTTCGAAGAGGCTGTACCAGAGCCTGCCTTCGAAGAGGCTGTACCAGAGCCTGCCTTCGAAGAGGCTGTACCAGAGCCTGCCTTCGAAGAGGCTGTACCAGAGCCTGGCTTCGAAGAGGCTGTACCAGAGCCTGGCTTCGAAGAGGCTGTACCAGAGCCTGCCTTCGAAGAGGCTGTACTAGAGCCTGTCTTCGAAGAGCCTGAGCCTGAGCCTATCTTCGAAGCGGCTGTACCAGAGCCTGTCTTCGAAGAGCCTGAGCCTGAGCCTGCCTTCGAAGAGGCTGTACCAGAGCCTGTCGTCGAATCGCCTGAACCAGAGCCTGAGCTCGAGCCTGTCCTGGAAGAGTCTCCTGCTGAGGGAGGTAGCGAACAGTGGATCATTCCTCAAGTGTCTGCTGATACTGACAGCTGGTCGCGCGCTTCTTTGTCACCCGGTGATACGTCTAATACTGAAATACTACCAGAGGCTACTGATCAGGGCTACATAGCGAGGATCTCATGGTCGGACTTAAGTCTGTATGGGAATTGGGCAAATATGTCCTCAAAGAAAAGAGCTAAAAGGGCTAGCAAGCTTAGGTCTAGAGGACTTCCTGTCCCAAGCGAGACTGGTTTCATTTCAATAGTTGCAGATTGAGGGTGATTTGGAGAAGCTTCGGCCGCGCAATTTAACCATTTACTTCCTGTTCATAGATTCGTACAGTAAAGCGCCAAAATGAGATATATTAAATCTACAGATATTGAGGTAATACTTGGGCCTGGAGCAAATTGGGGGTTTAGCTCCTCAATTTATGGGAGGGTAAGAACGAATATAAGGGGCTTATACTGTACCAACTCGACCACCCTCTTATATGATCAGTTCGGTATTACCTTCCGCCACTTTGAAGTAGCACGACCTCCCTAGCACTTTGGTGGAGTCGCCCGTACTCTCTACCACCTCTCGTTCCCCGGAATTATAGGCCCTGTGGGAAAATTATTCCTACTCTGGGAGCAATAATTATTGTGCCTGGGGACCATGCCATGTATCATGGGGCCAAGTATGATTCTAGGAACGCTAAGGGTCCTGTTAGTGGGATCTTGAGCAGGTAATCAACCAATATCAGATATAAAATTTAGAATGCGGGCAATTTGACTGATATCTTTACACGATATTGATATAGTGATTTATATTCACGTTAACCTCATTGCCGAAAAATGATCATTACAATGATTTGAACACAACAGCTCATGAATTCTCTGAGCCTACTGAGCCTAGAGCCACCAGGGCTCCATTCGGCTTCTAATATAGAATGGGGAGATAGGGGGGATGAGGACTGGGATTCCCTGGTCTGCCGAAGTAGGCTCGGGGAGACGACTAATAAGGTTAGTACAATTTAGCCACTACAGAAGCCATAGAGACCTACTTAGCCATTGGCTAAAATGGTTTAATGAAAATAGGAATTGATTGTAGGTTAGAACGTGAGAAAAGATAGGTGCTGTTGCTGAATTGTGACAGAGTGAGAAGATGGTTAAAGAGAAGGAAGAACGTGAACGAAAAAATGAGGTATTTCCATCTATGCGTAGTTAGCTATATTTCATATAATATCTTTGCTGTTCACATCCGAGTTCTTTTCCTCCTGGCTTTTTCAAATATATCGCGGCTGAAAGCCGAAGATGGAGATGAATGGGTCGGTAGGACTCAGAGATGCTTGTTCTTCACTTGCCAAATGAAATAAACCCACGAACTATGGATTAGTGAGCCGCAGCACTTGATATAGACTTGAAAAGAGAAGCTAGTTGAATCACTAGAATAAGAATAGTAATAGGTAGCAAAAGGTAAACAATAGGATATAGTTAGCATACTAGAAAATAATAGTATATACGACCATAGGGTGTGGAAAATAGGGCTTCCCGTCCGCTCAGCCGTACTTAAGCCACACGCCGGTGAGTTAGTAGTTGGGTGGGTGACCACCAGCGAATCCTCACTGTTGTATGTTTTTGGCTTTGTTTTTGCCACATAAATCTATTTTCTTTACACGGCAATTCTTGACTCTTTGCAAACGTTGCAAACCTCGAACCTTCTCGCTTAGCAATCTAGCAAACAATCTATGTAATGAGATAAACGATGAAATCAGTAAGCGAGCAAGTACATAAAGCATATGATAGCGATCTATTGCAGGTCGTGACAGTTCATATACAAATTGTACGGCATTCCATTATAGATCCTCTAATCATAAATTTTAGCCTTACTACAACCGCACTAGAGGGGACTCCTAGTTCTCTAGCTTATACTATATCTGCGTAATCCTTTACCATGATTAGATTCCACAAATTTTGTAACCGAGATAAAGCCGGAGATTGTATTTATCAATCAAACCAAGTTTAATAACGCTCCTAGGACCTATCTGTATAGTTTAGAAATTTTAGACGGAAGAAAGCAGATATTTACGTCAATAGTGCGTTTATTCACGGTACTAACTAGTGACCCACAGGGGAAGTTCTATATTCTCCGGTCTTACCGGAAGGCTCGGAATGGAGCGTCGGTGTGAAGGGACGAAGCTAGTCTGGATTGAAGCTAACTAGTTAAGCCGTTTGCTGTTATCTAAAAGCTGTTCGACATGTCGAACTTGAACATATCGTTACTGTCTAGCAACACAAAAGATTCATACCGAAGTCCCCTATTAACCGGTGGTTCAACGTCGCGTGTGACATTCGCCGAGACTTCAGCCCATCCCTCCCACAGAGCTCTCCAGTAGCATGCCTCAGCAGCTGGGGTTAGGTATCTTTCTCGAAAGGTTTTGATACTGTTATTGGCTATACGCTCTGCCTTGTCCGGGTTCTCCAACAGTTCGTCCATGAGATTCGGAAGATCGGAAAAGTCTCTCTCGACTTCCACGTAGTTCTGTTCCGGACCGGACGATACGAGGAGATAGTGGTGATGTTGGATGTACTGCAGCTTATGCGCCACAATAACGGACCGACAGGCTTGTCGGTATTTAAGCGATGCCGAGTATGCGCGGCCTGAATATCGACGATATCTGTCAGCCTTGTATAGCAAATTTGGGTTGTGAAAAAAAAACGTACCTTCAACATGCGCGATAAACATGGTCCGACAGTGATCCTCCATCGACAAGAAGTTGACCTTCTTGCTCCAATCCAACTCCTTCACATCACCCCAAGGCTTACCCCGGGCAATGTCCAAGAGCGTCCGACGCAGCTTTGGTGCAAAGCTCAACTTACCCCGCCAGACCAGCTTCCGTTCTTTATCCGCGAATTTCATATTAGATTCAGCCGCCATGATGCTCTGTACGACTTGTCCGTATGGGCCGATGTTACTCTTGGCCCAGGACCAGTATCCGAAGTCGGGCATCAGAATGACCGACTCCTCAGATGCTTTTCTTGATAACACCCAGACCGGGTGGCTGGCCGCATCAACGTCATCCACGCGATCTTCGATCGAGAAGATAAACTCGATTGTGGGGTGCGAGGTACGATTTGAGGACGCAGATAGTGCCCGATGGATAGACCCTAGAGTACTAAGGATCTTGCGCCGATGATCATCCCATTTTGCTCTTGTCGCCACGACGTACAATTCTCCGTTGGAGATAATAGCGCGGGCCATACCATCTCGGAATGGGACCATGCTCAGATCGTTTCTTGATATGCTCCCTTGCGACTTCCAATACGCAACCCCTCGCTGGATGTCCTGGAAGAGACCGGGGAATGCTGCCTGACACTGAATCTGGCTCAGGCCTAGGTTTTGGTCGTCTCTTCCGTATTGGAAACTCCAAGTTTCATGGTGTTCTGGTTCCAATAGCGGTGGCGAGGCTAGACAGGTGAGGCAGTCGGCGCATTGAAATGAAGTAGATGATTGGCAGGTGCAGTGACCTGCTGGGATAAGTTGTGTGAGGAGCTGGGGCACATTATCACGGTCTGAGTTCATCCCAAACCATATTAAGTAGATAAAAACACCACAAGCGCCAATGGCGACTGTGGATATCATCCGCCGAAGGGAATAGTGACGGTAACACCACTTGTTCCATGATTGGTGCATGTTGAGAAGCTTGAATATGACGAGAATGGTAAGTGGGATACCTGGGGGAAATTAAGGAGAACACCAAAAGCCTCCTTCAAGGCAGAAGAATAAGCCAGCTCAGAGATTGTCTTAGTCTACATGGGGAAGAACTAGGGACAACGGAGACCTTTTCCCTAGACAGGTAAGGGTATGATCCACGAACGGGTCACCTAGTCCACATTTAGATGCAACTAAATGACCCACAGGACCAGCCCCTCTAACCGTTTTGACCAACGGGATCTGAACGAACGGGATCTGACATTTATGAGCTGTCAGTTAATGCCGAGCTAAGAACCACTAGACCCACTAGCTAAGACCGCCCAAATGTAACCCTAAAATCCTTTTCCTATCCCAATTAGGGGGGTTGGCCTCAAAAGTGAAGCAGCAGCCAAATGTTCACCATGAGAATTCTGGGACGGTTGGTACATTTGAAAGAGCTTTAACCCCGGATTACTTTGTCCTAGTCTTTAAGGACCAATGTGACATTATCTCCAACAAGATTGTCGGCCGCCCCAGGGCGTCCTATAAATCTTTCAACGATGCTGTACTTAGACATGAATGAATTAATCCAAAATATAAACGTGACCAGCGTAGCAAAAATTCCCGACTCCGACTGGTGGTCATAAAATTGCAAATCTCTAGGGGTATAATGCTGTTTAAGTGACGGAAACAATCAGAGATTCTGTATGACACTTGATTCAACGAAGTTAATCAAAGAGGTATAGGATGCGCGGCCCGGGTACGTACCCAACTTGATCTGGTACTCCCTACTCCGTAACTATACAACGCTGCCTGAATGAAGTTGTAGAGAAATGAGGTGGAAAGGAGTATGGATTTTGATGGGGTATGACGGGCAGAACTGCTCGTAGGCGGTATGAAGCGATTAGCCAATAAGACAACATGTCAGAATCTAGGATGAATACTGTCATTTTTCATCCCTGATACAGCTGGGTCACGTGATTGACCAGGCTGGTTTTTCTGCAGAAAAACTAACTCAGTGGTTTTTCGCCCAAAAAAACACCCTTTCTTTTATTTTGTTTGTTTTGATTCCTAAGTTGTCCATCAGATTGTCATGTTTTAGGACTATTGTCAGTTTTAGAGAGTTAGAGAATTTATTGAGGTTTTTCTGCCACATATACACTCGCCTTACCACCGTTTTTCCGTCACAACACAAAACAGCCCAAAGGCGGTCTAAACACCATAATCTTCAAAGAGAAATGCTACCGGCACGCGAAAATTGCTACCGTCACGTTGCCTACCATACTACTTTAGGTAAGTCTCCCGCTGGCCGCAATTTTCAACCAACCTTTGTAATTTATTATAGTATGATCGATCATATGATTAAAAACAAAAAAACAAAAGTCACCTGATGTAATCACATGACTTAGTCACGTGACTTAGACATATGTTTGGATATATGTCTTGGTCACATGTTTTAGTCACATGTTTGGTCACATGACTTTAATAATGCGAATAGTAGGCAAAGTAAGCCAGATCATATGATCATATGACCAAGCATTATGGTCAAGTCATATGATTATATCAGGTGACCAAAACAGGTGACCAAAATAGGTAACCAAAGTATATGAAGTCATATAGCCAAAACAGGTAACCAAAACATGTGACCAAGTCATGTGATTATATCAGGTAATCTTTTGGTTTTGATCACATGGTAGACTATACCATAATAAATTACAAAGGCTGGTTGAAAATTGCGGCCAGCGGGAGACTTACCTAAAGTAGTATGGTGGGCAACGTGACGGTAGCAATTTTCGCGTGTCGGTAGCATTTCTCATCTTCAAACTCGTGCAAGCCCATTCACCCATGAGTGACTAGATGAAAGCCAAAACTGCGACCCTGTGACCATAAATAGATGTATATGGTATGCACCTCCTATCCGATTAACACGGCGCAGCCCCATTTAGCAACCCATGACCCGGTCAATCTTGATCATACAGCTGTTAGCGATTTGTTTGCGTCCACAATGGCTGCAATGGCCTCGGTTCCGAAGTTCATTGTAGGCGTCCATCAAATCCTGCCCTATAAGTTCACAGTGTTGCCGTTGAAAAAAAGACCGCAGGGTCCACTACAAGATCCAGTATTGGAATGGCTTTGTCGAGTTAGCGAAAAACATACTCGAGGTAAGTGCCGTAGGTATTGCTGGGAATAACCTACCGATAAGCATCGTGACAGCCAGAACCGAGTTTTTCCACCGAGCAGAGCCCTTGCAATCGATATTTCCCTCGGCCATGGCTATCAAGTCTTAGGCGGTCTCTGCAGAGGGTTTGGTTTCAACCAAAAGGGATCTATTGCCATTGAAAACGAGGAAATTTTCACCCCTGGCAGCGATTAGGCTGGGGACTGCTGCGGCAATGGTGGCCAGAACAGTTACAGCATAAACGGCGTGGTTGAGAAGCGACATTGTGATGGTTTCGATAAAAGGCTCTTGGTCAGAGAACGATAGAAAGATGAGTGCGTTGGTAGTAGAGAAGCCGCCCAGAGATAGCGAGCATCGACCCTTTCATATCCGCCTAGTCAAGGAGATGTCCTACAGCACAGCACCAGCTATACATAGACATAGGACGGAAGTCGTGGCCACCTTTGCATATCATTAACTAGATTGGTATCAGACCCTGGTGATAATGTTTCTTTAATAAGCGACTACAATGGCAGGGTTCGGAGCAGGCTAAGCCATCCAGCATACTTTACAAGCAATTATTCCATACTATATTTGGTCAAAGATGAGCACACGTTGTAGATATGGTGTTACTATGTTCTGTGAAGCCCGAGGCTCATGTTAATGCGCCTGATATACCCAAAAATATCAATAAGCCATGATCCTTCGGCCTCAGTTGAAGTAGTTCTGTAGATCCATCAACTCTATAGAAAATGTATAACTTACCCTAACCTATGTAGTATTCCTAAGCACCCTCTGGCCACTGCATTACTAGCTCAAAACGGTAGCCCGAATATACGCCGCCGATTCTCCTAAGAAGCTTCATTGATTGTCACATAAAGGTAGACAGTTCTAGATATTTCTATGCTATATCCCATAATTGGTCTATGGTGCTTGTTGTTGCCCTGCCCAGAATCCCTGTTGAATAGCGATCAATGACTACAGTGCTTGAGGGATTTGAACAGTCCTCGTTGCCATCAAGCTTCCAGCGCAGGTAAGTATCCTCCTACATTAGTTGATGTTGCATCGCGTTCAGAAACGAAGCAGGAATAGGGCTAGCAGGGGTTAGCAGGTCAGGAATACCCGGTCGGGGATCCCTCGGAATTTCGGAACACCAAACATAACAACATTGAATAGTTAGAAACTAGAATCCCTGAATCCCCTAAATCTATTAATCTTAACGTGGCCCTTATGGAGAAAATAACCCGGCAGGAATACTTTCATGGACAAGGTTGCCTTTGGGGTGGAAACACAGCCCTTACGAAAACTCGATACCAAGGGTCGAGTGTCAGAAGTACCGCAGGATCGAGCATTAGTTATAGGAAGATTATACGATCATCATAAATCTATGAGTTACTCGACTTTTCCAGAGGCGCTATTGTTATTATAAATAAGCTTAGCGCAATTTCGTTAGGACAACACTAACACTGTTTAAGTAGGAGACCCTGGGAATTTAAAAAAGATCAACAGGCGTGTCCATGACTCGATATTTGGGGTCAGATACGCTGGCTGCCTAGGGGAATTTAGCAGAGTTGAAATACGGATTACAGCGATGTGAATCATAGCAGGCTTAGGGCGGGCGACTACGGCGACGATCTCCCGCAGTCCGGCGCACCGCATAAATGATGATGCATTTGGAAGTATTCACTGTTGCCCCATGCTGTTCATAGCCCTCTCTGTGGCATTCCTCTCTCTTTCTTTCGTTTCTCTCGCATGCAGCTTGCCGTTCAGCTTGCTGTGTTGGCATTCCCTTTGTACGCCTGCAGAGATGTTTCTTCTGGTTTCTGGAGGATGGGATCTGGTAGCTTTGTAGCATGGAGCTATATAGAGAGCTTCTTGGCAGTAGCTAGATCAGCATCTTTCATCCACTTCATATCATCATCTTTCTGGTTGATCACCCTTCTTCTCGTAGCCTGCACCTTCATCAATAACTAATACTCGATCTCTAACTAGTACGCCAGATCCTAGGAGATCGTCGCTCACACCAAGCTAGAAATTTACGCCAGTGCATTATATCATATTGCCTCAAGGTTGTGGTATGGCCTTGACCGACGGTTCGGTGGACCCTGGGAGATCGTCGCTCGCACTAAGCTAGAAATGTACGCCCGTGCATTAGTGTTGTTTTGAGGAGATCTCTGTAATCGTATGATCGTTATAATTAATACTAGTACTCGATTCAATGACCATACGGTTATCATAGATACTATTGTCATTGTCTATAAGCTTAGCGTCGGTCGAGGCTAACTATGCCGCAATCCCCTTAAGACAATACCCATACACGGGCGTAAATTTCTAGCTTAGCGCGAGCGACGATCTCCCAGGGTCCAGCGAGCCGCCGCAATCTTGAGACAACACTAATGCACGGGTGTATTACCCGCTTGGCTGTCCGCCAGTAAGATGCCAACAGGGGATATCCACTGAGACCATGTATTTTCTTTATTGTAGTCCACTGCGGACTTCGCCTGTAGACAATCAGGTAACAACATAACTAGCCTTAAGCAATTGGTTGATGCAGCACATTCCTTCTTTGGAGGGACGCTTGGCCTAGTGTAATGGCCTAAATGTTCCCATGTACCTTACTATTGTTGCGAGTTTGCTACCCAGCCGTAGACCTTCGACTATTGTCCTATCTAAGATCTCCCACTGTGGGTTGGAATCGAGTCTATATAAGATGACTACAGACCCGATATACCAGAGTTAGATGAGAACACAAATCCCTTTTCGAAAACATCAGTCCTGTTGCTTCTTAAGTAACCAAAGGTGCACGCCGTCGTCATGAAAGCTTTTACCTTTATGTCTTCTGGACTTGCCCTCTCTGCTGCTCTGGGCGCATTAGCCAGCCCAGCGAGCCCTAGATCTCCTACATCAAATGACTTGGATGCCAGAAATGAAAACAATCGCCAGATTCAGTACCGAGGAGTAAATCTCCAAGGTTCATTGAGGTACGAGACGAAGGGCCTGATCTTTTCAAACTAGGAGTGCTATCCGGAAACCAACCAATGCCATTATAGAACTCATAGTGGGCTGAACGCTATCTGTGGTTGCGAGGTCAAAAAGGTAATTTGCCCTCGACCCCATTGCTCCAGGAGTATACTAACTTCTACGCACAGTGCACCGACACAGTTGAGAGTAAAGCATGTTATTTTGATTCTTTTAGTAGAAAGTGTATCTGTCAGAATGTCGTGACTTCCCAAGGCGGATATTTCCGTGTTGGTACTCGGTGATCGTGGAGCAGCTACTGTAGAGGAACATATACAAGTTTGCTGCATTTCAATATATGTTGTCCTGTTTTCTACACTATACCAGCATTGAGTGTGAACTGTTACCTCGATTTCTATAATTCGCATCATTGTACTCCGTCATTTCAACTCTGCTGGATTCCCCGAGATAGTCAGCGTATCTAGCCCCAAATATCGGGTCATGAACACGCCTGCTGATCTTTTTCTGATCCCCAGTGGGTCTCCTACCCTAAACAGCGACGTGTCACTAATGGCATATAATGGTATATCACAAATGGCATACGGGTCTGATTGGAAGCAAAAGATTGTTGCTGTCTGCCACAGAGACTTCTCATTTTCTTTATACAGTCAGCCTTTTTTTTTTATATAAATAATATATTGTCTAATCCCATTGCACTCTACCTCTCCTACGTTTAACTCATTTCTAGAGATTCACCCTCTTGACACTCATCACCAATCGGTACTGCCAGCTCTTTAAATTCCTGAACTTAGGATGCACGATTTACTAAGAGATTCACCGAGCTCAGTACCGCGAGCTAGCTCTGGCGGCTTCGCTGCATGCAGCCGAGCGGATCGGGCGGAGTTGGAGGAAGCTGCACGAGCAGGGAATTTCGACCTCCTCCAATCGGTGGCATATAACAGAGTATGGATCACGGGCCTGAGCTATTGCCAGAGCCGGGCGTCAATTGATTCCTGCGAGACGTCTCTGCATTCTCTCTGGTGCGTCTATTACCAATGCGCCAGGCATGTCTCCCACGAAAGCTTTGAGCAAGACAGATGGGTCCTCGACATCCTCCGGACGCGGGGACGCGGGCCTCTAATCAGACCGGCGCCGGGCGGTGGCATCGATATTGCTAGAACTCTCGATGGGACAGTCTGGAACGACATGCCGTTCCTTGCGACGGACATGACAGAGTGCTGGATCAACGACTGCGCGGAAATGAACGCAAAGCAGCGCCTTAATGCTGCGTCCTTCCTTGCGAAGCTTGCGTCCACGCGCATTGCGAACGATCGGCTTTGCCAGATTGCTCTGATCCTTTTTCGGGACACATTCGAGTGCGAGCGTCCTCTTGGGAGCTCTAATGAGCCGGATGATGAACACGAAGAATATCGCCGAACAATGCCTGGACGTTCTATTGCGTCGTTACTCCCATCTGCATGTGCCTGGATCTGAGAAGCCGGGCATAACATCATACTCTTATCCGATGTCTCATGGAATGATTGCTCCGATACTACCTTTGGGGCAGGTGGCTTCACCTTTGTCCAGTCGGAGCTAGGTCAACGGGCACCTGGAGGATTTAGTCCCTGGAGATGGTTATACTGGCTTAAGCGGTTACATGAGATTGCCGATGAAGCATCAAAAGCAGATGAGATGGTTCTTGGAGAGCAGGCCGCGAAGGCAATTGACATTATGTTAAGTAACGTTAAGGAGAGGAACTCTCAGATTCTCAGGGTGTTTGAGAAAGCGGGCGATGCTGTGACCGAGGATAAGGATTTTATGGGCTTGAAGAGGGAATGGTAGATACAGCACAACCAGACTTGACGTGTGATCCTATTTAATTTGATTTGGACACCATGAGTGCACGTTAACGGCCTGCGCCAAGAATTCTCTCTTTGTCGGATGCCCGAACCGTGACCACCACCACCTTAAACATACTGCTGTATGTTTTTGGTTTTGTTTTTGCCATATAATATAGTGTGAAGGAGGATGTAGGCAATAAGAATCCGGTGAGCCAGGTCAAATTTTACTATCGGACTGGCGGTAGACTGCCGTACTACATATGTTCAGAAAGGCAAGAACGCCAATCATCCAAACGATCTGCTATTGTACAAATTCCAACACCTCAAACTTGCGCCTGGATCTCATCAACGACCCGCCCAAGAGTTCCATTACTCCAGCCATCAACCCGCTCCCGGTCACACGTCTCATACAAAGCACGTGCAAGTGCTGCAAGCTGAGCAGCCTCCTTCGTATCAGCCTCTGCGGCTTGGATCTGGATCCAACTGATGACACCAGAACGAGTGATCAGGGTAGTACTGCCACCCACCTGGGCAGCGCGGTATACAATGTGCAGGATCTTTCGTCGAGCTGCTGGGCCGAGGGTTGGGGACTGGTAGAGGGAAAGAATGCGTTCGAAGACATTAGCTCGTCGGTAAACCTCCATATCCTAGATTCAATGTGTTAGCAATCGTGCTTTTGGAGTATAGAACTGAAAGGTAGAAACTTACAGCCTCGGTGCGGAGTGCCTTGATAAATAGATTTAGGAGCCAGTCGATCTCGTCGAAATACCCATCATCCAACTCAGGTTCGTGCAAGAGGATTTTATCGACCCAGTATGTTGGGATCTTCTCGACTTCCCATAATGGTGCCTTCTGCAGGAACTTGTTGACTTTTCCGTAGACCTTGTGGAGGGGGTCTATGAGAACCTCCAGGCAGTTTGAAGCGCACTCGCCCACAATCCAGGGAACGGGCTTCTCCATGCCAATGTTGTTGACTGTCTCGAGGAGCTCGCCAGCTAGAGTAAACACTGTGCGCCATTCTGCATAGGTAGAATCCTTGAGTTTGGCCATGAAGCGAATAATGTTGGCGAAGGCCTGTCTCCGGACTTCTTCGTGCTGAGAACAAATGCAGAGCATCAACTCGGCGACATGACCCTGGTCTACTGCTTCTGCAATGTCCTCTCTTTCCCATTTGTTCAGGGCATTGTGGGTCGTGCCTTCAGTGGGCAGGGATCCAAAGATCTCATCGAGGTCAACGGCAGAGGCCTTGTTGGATGAACTAGGCACGTTAGAGCCAGAGTCAATGTCCATCTTGTCTTCGTTGTCGGCATCATCTGCCTCTTTCACGGACTTCTTGAGAAGAGACTTGATCTTTTTGGTCTCAGTTGCTTCAACCAACGCATCCCGAGCAGCCTTAAGTACCTTGGTACTCTCACCCGCCTGCTTCAGATTACCGAGAAGACTTGCGATCCAGGCACCAACGGCAGCTTCCGTAGATGCATCTCCGCCTTTGACGACAAATGGCCATTGCTCAACAATGGCAGCAACAAGCGCGCTAGTAGTTCTAGACACATCCTCGGATAATGACTGTAGCAAGTCCTGGTAGTGAACTGGCTTCTTGGCAACACGGGAGACACAGTTATCAAAAAAGACCAGCTGCTGATGCAAAGCATCAGCCTCGGAATTCTCAAGGCTTGATAAGACAGATGCAAATGCGTGTGGGGAGCTTTGCAGAACAGAGTTATCAACCAGAACAGTCTTGAACAGAGTAGAGATACGCCGCGAAGAATCTTTATCTGAAGTATCCATGAGAACCTTGAGAATCGAGGTGAAGGGTGAGTATTGCATGGATGCTGGCTTTTGCCACCAACGCAATGAAGCTGATTGTTGTGCGATCTGGAGGATACTCTGAAGTTGGCTCAAAAGCGATTCAGAATCATCCGCGCTAATGTCTGGGGCTTCCAGGCGCTTGAGAACATCCACCAAAACTAGGGAGACGTCAAAGTTTTCCTCTAGAGCAATGTCCGGCATCACTTCATAGTAACAGGTCAAAAGCTCTGCAACAGCCTCCTGCTGGGTCAGGTCCTCCCTTTCTGTTCTTCGGAAGAGGACAACGACATCCTTGACAGCAGGGCATCGGCGGGAGAACTCTGCCAGCAGCTTAGCAGAAGCCTGATTCCAGAATAGTTGGCCTTGGCCGTGATCCGCCTGGAAGATTTTGAGGACAGCCCGCAGCTTAGTGAATGCGAGAGTCAGGATACGCACGGCGAACAAGGTGATGATCTCCGCATTCTGGTTGAGGCAGCGGGTCATGATCTTCTGGCCAAGGGGACGAGGGAGAATATTTTCAATAACGACAGAGACCGGCGGTGGCAGGATAGGCTGTTTATCCTTCCAGCCACAGTTTGCAGGGACAGGCAACTGCACGGTTGAAAAAAGGAAGGCCGACTCGGCCATCCACGAAGGGGTGGCCTTTGGGTCTGAAATAAACATAGTTTTTCTTGAGAAATAATCGGCAACAAGCTCTGGTGCAACCCTGAAGATGGAAACCAGCAGTTCAATCTGGAGACTATCCACATCAGGCCGAAGGCACTGAATGAGGAATGAAAGGGAACCATTTCGCACGGGGATAGACTCTCGGTATTTGTCCACGTATATGGGAGAATCAAGGCCTAATTCAATGCATGTATCATCATCAACGGGTAAGGTCTCTGGATCGGTTCCGACGGGATACCAGCCGGTCTCGGGCAAGAGGACACCGAGCCCGGCGGTTTTGCACACATTCATCATGACTCGGTGGATCTCATTGGCGATAACGACACCTCCAGCATTAGGTTCATCTGACTCTCGATCATAGCCATAAAGCGTCACCAGTCGTTCGAGATTATGTCTGTTGAAAAACTTGCTCTTCGATTTGCGGGACAGAGCGGAATCTTGTACCACGTCCCTTTCGATAGCCTTGATAATTTCTAATACAGTATCCCGCGGATCCTTCCGGATATATTCAAGGAAAGACCTGGTAATCTTGTGCTGTTCGATGATATCACCCTTCTCGGAGGCATGCTGGACTCTCAGGTTTGCGAGCAGGTATCGTTGAGCGTTGCGTCTGAGCGTCGACTTGTGGGACTCATCTCCTGAGATCTCCTGTGCTTTGTTAGGGGCCAGGAAGACCTCCAGTCGCTTAAAGGTAATGTAGCGCCGAAGATACAGCTGTCGTGCCACTGCTCCTCCGTCAAAAGTCACGATCTCCGTAAGCAAACGCAGGCACGGTGAGATCAAGTGCTCTTTAGACTTGGTTGCTGTCAGACCGCGGTTGAACAATCTCAGCTGGTCTTTCTGTAGCAAATGCTTGCACAGGGCGATTCCAAATTCCCGGAACTCCAGTTCCGACGAGATCGTCTTGAGGAAGATCGCAAGAACAGAAGGGACGCTAGTGAGTAAAGGCTCGTTGTTATTGCCATCGCCAAAGGACCAAGATTGAATTATATCCGCAAAGCACACTGAGGTTTCATCCTCCTTTCCGGAGTTGGTGATCTGTTTATCGCAATAATCCTTGAGGACACGCAATTTCTCTGCCTTTTCGCTCTCATTTTCCGTGTGTGCAATTGACACCAAGAACTCTTTAAACTTGATTATACCTATTTGCTAGTCAGTTTTGTTGTAGCTTAGGATGGTTTGCGACCTGCCTCACCTTGCTTTGCCAACGGGGCATTTTGCTGGACAGCCAACAATTCACGCAACGAAGCAGCAGATTTGATATTGGATATGACGGCCGTTTTCTCCGGTTTAGGATCGTCAATCTTTCTTCTCTTCGCCCGAGAGGGATGTTCTGTGATGTGCGACATGATTTGATGGGTTGGTGTTGTAACTTTTTTTTTTTTATCTTCAGATGTTCTCCGATACCATCGACATTTCCAGCTCGTTGATTGGCCGAGGCCTCCCCGCCCGGTACAAAAGTGTGGATACACCGCCTTATTCTGCCATATTAATACCGAGGCGGTGTGTAGTTAGCCTCCAATAAGTGGAGACAACATCATTTACATCATTTTACCAAGTGCATGTGTATGTGGTCCATTCCTTAATATGATGTTGAAATAAAAGCTTAGCCAGGCTGCTAGAGAGTGCTCTTTATGGCAATGACACTTGTTCTACTATTATCGGCGATATGAATGGCCCCCGATGCATACAACCCTCTTTCTTGCGTTTGATTCTTGACTTGTTCGTCTTATTTCACCCCAATTCCGAGGTTATCGGTGCTTATCGAAGTCATACGGCATTGGCAAAGATGGAAAGCTGTTGATTTTTGTGTTTGATACCGATCATTATCATCTTATATACTGCATGGCTTCCGAGCAATCAGTTTGGCCACAATGGCTAAAAGGGGCTAGATCGAGTATTTGATGTCCAATTCTCACAAAGAAGGGCGATATTTGGTTGGAGGCACAGGCAGCCGAAGGGACTTCCGCCGATCGCGCAGTCTATGAGAAACAGTATCGATCGAACACCCGGAGTGGACGGCCTATAGGCTTGAAGGACCGGGAGATGATGCGTTATTGCAGTGCACCCCTCGAAGAAGCAGCCCCTCGAATTATGCCAGATGGACCATTTCTGAGTAAAATGCACACCGATATATCACTAGCAGGCTGATAACTGATAGATAGTACTCCCCAGCTCTTGATTATTTGACGACAGACCCTTCTTTCTGGCGCCGAGGCATCGGGAGAATGCTCGTGCAAAGCGAGTTGTAGGTCGACAAGGAATAAAGACCTATGTGATGTCAGAACCGGCTGCATTGAAGCTATATCTTAGCCTTGGCTTTCGACTGGTAGATACGGTATCGGTGGATTATTCGCATTATGGTGGAACGGAGCCAATGGTGATGTATTTTCTTGTTCGCAAGCCATCTCAGGTAGAGTAGGTGCGTGACAACGTATATTACGAACCTCGTTCTTTATTTTATAGCAAGTAATCGTGCATTGCTCATCTCTTGCTACCACATATTGATCCTGAATTTTGGTGTGCACTTCCTTATGATGATTTGATATATTTCTAAGACGCGTCCCATCCCATCCTGCCAACTGGAAAACAGCTTCTTGGGCTATTTATACCATTCAATTCTTCTATTCACTTCTTTCCATCCCTACTAACTTTTCTATCACCTCATCCTCTTCTTCCTCTAATTATCCTCCTCTTCACGACTTTTACTCTGCATCGTTACTATTGTTTTCACCATGGTGAAATACAACACCAGCGATGTCATCAAAGCCCAAATGGCCGAGCTGAACGACCTTGTCAAGGAGATCGCGGTCCTGGACAGCGAGATGACCAACGCAGCTTCTCATAAATGGATTGGATTGTGCCAGGAGAGGATGAGAAAGACATCTCGAATGGAGACGCTTAAGGAACAGATCCAGTGCAAGATTATGGCAATGGACGTCCACCGTAAAAAGACCCTCACGCGCCAGCTTAACGCAATCACGAAAGTCAGAGGCTGGACAATTGACGCGTATAAGAGCAATAACACCAAAACAACCACTGCTGGCACTGCACCCGAAGTTCTCAAGCATGGAAATGAGGAAGAATGTGTAGGCTAGAAGACTATTTGACAACTATACTGCTCCTGGGAACCTACTGACATGACCAGACGAATTCCACTTTGAGTGATGACTGGGTTGTTGCGAAGGATATGAACTCGTGTATCTAGGAGTGTCAAACGGGCTTGAAACTGATTCTAAAACATTTGGTCACTTACCATTCAATCTCATTCGTAGGAAAAATTATTCTATATTGCTCCGAGTTGACTAGAGAAAATACCAAAGTCCCGAGTAATTGCACTGCGATACTCTGCACCAGATAGGAGGAGGTTTTGACATATTTACGACAAATGCTCTTTGCAAGTAGGATATTCTTTCAAACTGCCACCTTAATGCACAACCAGTAAATTATTCCCAGATCGAAAAAAAACCAACTCCGATATTTTAAGCTAAGTGATTCATGCAAAAATACAATGATAGAGAGATATAAGACGCAAGACAGAAAATAACACACGGTTGCAAGCATAGCTGGTATATTGGAAATATAACAAAAATCAACCCCAAGTTCCACCACCACCACCTCTGCCTTGGCGTCGCTGGGCAGAGATACGCCAATCGTCTTCGCCAGCAAAGCGGTTGTGCAGAGGCTGGATGCGCTCTGCCTTCTTACGTTTTGACAATCGATCCGTAGGTGCAACCTTGAAGAAAGTAGGCGCCGCTTCCACGAGCCATTTCGGCTCAATAGCAGTGGTGCAGTGCATGTATTCCTTGGTTGTGAGGACCAGGGTGTGGTAGATGACATGCTCGGCCGGTTTGCCGAACATCGCGGAACTAGGGTGCATGTACACGGGCGTTCCTTCCACCAGGGTCTTGTATCCTTCCTGGGGGTCTTTCCGTGCTGCGTTGCGGAAGAAGCCGGTACATAGAGACTGCCGCACTTTCATGGTATCTCGGCCACAAGAGACGATCCGGTGCTTGTAACGGTTCATGATGCCTAGTAGTTGCTGGCGCACATCTTGGGCGCGCTTGATCTGTCGTGCTTGGATGAAGTTCTCGAAACACCAGGAGTTGTTGAAGCCTGCGTTCTTCCACCCATTGTAGACATTGAGGAGGGTCAGATGATCGCCGTGGGGATCGTGGAATTTGGACTTTTTCTGGTCTGCTTGTTGCTGCTTTTCTTTGGGGCGGTAGAAGACAGACTGGATTGATAGCATGGCAACAATGCTAAGCATTTCATCGGAGCAGCCTGAATCCACGGATGCAATGAGCACCTTCGCAAGCGCAGGTTCCATTGGGAAATCGGCCATCTTTCGTCCAAGTCGAGTCAAAAGACCCTCATCATCAAGTGCTGACAAGGCATATAATTCTTCGAGTGCTGTCAACATTGTGTTGGTAGGCGGTGGGTCCATGAAATCGAAGTGGAGGAGGTCGTTGATACCCATGGCCTTGAGCATGAGAATGGTGTGAGAGAGGTTCTGACGCTGAATTTCGGGAATGGTTGTTGGAAGCATTTCAGACTGATAGGCAGCCTCTGTATACAATCGGAAGCACTTTCCAGGTCCCGTTCTTCCGGCACGGCCAGCTCTTTGCTTAGCTTGCGCTTGAGAAATTGGAGTCACCACAAGAGAATCCATGCCGAGCTTCGGATCGTAGGCATTCTGCTTCACAAAACCGGGATCAATGACGTAGTAAATCTGATCAATTGTGATCGAGGTCTCAGCAATATTGGTTGCAATAACAACTTTACGTCCGCCTGGAGGTGCCGGGTCGAAAATCCTACTCTGCATCTCACTGGGTAGTGCAGAGTAAACAGGTAAGACAACCAGTTCAGGGACAGTAGGTCCCAAAGCTTTCATGCGCTCGAATAAGATCTCACATGCTGTATCAATCTCTTCTTGGCCCGTTAAGAAGAGCAGAATGTCACCTTGCGGTTCTGTCAAGTGAATTTGCATGACAGTGATGAGTGCGGCATCTAGATAATCAGATTCGGGCTCCTTGGAGTACATGACTTCGACAGGGAAAGTTCGACCGGGAATGGAGAAAATGGGACAGCCGTGGAAGTATTCGGAGAACTTTTCAGCGTCCAGTGTGGCAGAGGTGATAATCAATCTGAGATCTGGTCTTCGTTTGACTGTCTTTTTCAACAGTCCGAACAGGATATCAGTCGCGATTGTCCGCTCGTGCGCTTCGTCGAGCATGATAACGGAATATCTCTTGAGGTCTGGATCCAAAAGAATTTCTCTCTGAAGCATTCCGTCGGTCATGTATTTGATCTTGGTGTCTGGGCTAGTACAATCCTCGAAACGGATGGTATATCCAACTTCTGCTCCGAGCTTGCAACCAACTTCCTCAGCTACACGTTTAGCAACTGACATGGCAGCAACACGGCGAGGCTGGGTGCAACCAATCATTCCGGTGTTTCCATATCCGCCCTCGGCCAGGTACTGTGTCAATTGCGTGGTTTTTCCAGAACCTGTATCTCCGACGACAATCATCATTTGATTGTCCTTCACTGCATCCAGCAATTGCTTTCGGAACTTGTAGACTGGAAGACTCTCGCGTTGTTGTTTCATGGACATGGTTGTCCGCTTTCCAAACGATGCGTTTTTGCCCATCGTCACTCTCTTCCACTCCGGTACAGCCTCGTCCTGCTTGGGTTGCTGGGCACTCCGAAGATCAGCAGCAAACTTTCGCTCTTCCGGTGCAACCATGGGGTCCTGCCATTGAGCATTGAGATCAACATCTGCCGCCTTCTCAGCCGCCTTGTCTTGAGCTTCCTGCTGCTTTAGTTCGCGTCTCTCCTTGGCAAGGTTAGTGCCTGCCATGGCAGAACGATTCATTGAGCCATCGGGGGCCTTGACAACACGAATAGGAGAAAGTTCGAGGGATTGCTTCGTCTGGCCAGCCAAGAAAGGAGGCTCCTCATCTTTGACCTCAATGTCGATATCTTCCTCCTCTTCGAAAGTGCCTTCGCCGGTGAGCGTTGCATTATATTCCTCGTCGATGTCGGGATAATCTGCTGCAGAGGCAACCCCGGAGGCAATCAATTGTCTAATCTCCCATCGCTCTGGCGAAGTCATGCGCTTTCGGTTCCTCATTGGTCGACCTCCAGACCCTTCAATAACGGGCACATCGGATCCGAGGCTGCCGTACTTGTCATCTATGAATCCACCATCGAGGCGTTCCATATTTGCACCAGAAGCAAGGCGCTTCTGGGGAACAAGATCCATGCCTGTCACTTGATCCACCTCCTTCATGGACAGTCCGATGCGAGTGCCTTCGATACTAGCCACTTTGACTTTGACTGGTTGTCCGCGCGAGACCAAATCCGAAGGATGATTCACTCGTGCTCCTTCTTGCATTGCTGAAACATGAACAAGACCATCCACCTTCCCCCTGACGCCCTTTAGATTCACAAAAGCACCGAAATCTTTTACACCTGTCACGGTTCCATCATAGACCTTGAAAAGAACGGGATGGTCATCCAGCTCGAGAGGCGGAGGACGACGGAAATCATTATCCTCGTCGCGACCACGGTGTCTCCGATGGTCACTATGGCCATTGCGACGGCTGTCTTCCCGGCCATATTTCCTAATCGATCTCCCGAACTCGTCCACAAGATCATCGTTTTTGTTATACCCCGGGGCGCTTCGAGACCTTGATCGCGAGCGGTATTTGTCTCTGCGCCGTCCACGGTCGTAATCGTTGTTCTCGGGGCTGCGGCTCCGCTTCCTAGTTCCGCGATCGTTTCTCGGCGCATGCGGTTTGTCCTCCTTCGCTTTTCCTGCCAGTCCCTCGAGCATGGCAAAAGTGTCGTCCATCGCGCCTGCCTGTGCATCGGCCTCGTCTGCGCCTTGAGGATCTGTGTAGTCTTCTTCCTCCCAGCGCTTCTCCGTATCGGGGACCGCAAGGCCCTTGAACACGCGAGATTTTTGCTCCAGAGCATCAAGCAAATCCATATCGTCTTTGGCATCCGAAGCTCCTTTGCCGTTCTCCGCTTTCTTTCCTTTGTATTTGGGGTGCATCGTGAGCACCATGCGGTCGACACTTTCCAGGAGACTCTGCGGGAATTCGCCGCCCATGTCGTCGAAAAATTTCTTGAATTCAGAAAACTTGCCATTGCATTTGAGGTGCTGATCGATCACGAACTCTGCGAGAGTCTTGTCGGCGATTCCCAGATGGTTCTCGAACTCGTTCGTCACGCGCGAGACGAGCGAGAACAGCTCCAGAGACTCGAGGTCATCCATGATGGGCGGTGGAACAAAAGAGATCCAACCAGATAAAAGACAGAGCCAGCAAAACTGGATAAGTAACGTGAAAATTGGCGAGCGCGCAAAACACTGCTACCCTGTAGCTCTTCGGAGATCTTGATGGCGGAAAATTAGTATGGCCGAAGTTGCCACCGATAAGATAAGGCGATCCTTGGCACAAAATCGGTGAGCTGAGCGCTAGGTTCACCCGAGGTAGCCCTGTCTCTTGGCAAGGCTTCATCATCCATTTATGCAGATGTAATAGTAATTATTGGGAGTCTTCCAACATGTTCAATCAATATGTGAATGCAAGCTGAAAAATACGTACAATTGAGCAAAAAGAAATAATTGATAGGTATTAGGTATGAGTATTGGAGATCGGTTTTATACATGTAATATACATATTTCTTGTTGTACATATTCATCACTCTTTGGGGACTTCTGTGTCATAGTATGACTCTGTTAGTTCAGGCTCCGAGTCGTCAAAGTCGGGTGATGAGCTCTCTTCCTTGCCCTCTTCCTTGCCCTCTTCCTCGCCCTCTGCCTCCGGTGACGATTCAAATAATGAGAGTTCGGCGTCAGAGGATTCACCCTCCGCAACCTCCGCAGCCTCCGCAGCCTCTGAAGCACCTTCTTCGGGCAGATTGATTTCAATCTGCTCTCCCTCACCAGAGGGCTTCATCCAGTCTCCAGCAACTCCCATACGTTCCTGCTCCAACAACTGTTTCTGCAGCGCAATCTGGCGCTTCAGAGAAGCACCCTTCCGCAGCCTCTTGTTGGCAGAGAACTCGGTCAATGCCCGAACCATGCGCTCTTCAACAAGTTCCTTGACATGACTTGCCAGAGTTCGGTCAGTGAAGACACCACCGAATCGGAAACTGAGCCACAGGTACAAGATAACTGCCCTATGAAGGCTTTCTAGATCATGCAAATAGTCGTTGCTGCCAGAAACGGGCTGCTCGATAACTTCCAGGTTGAGATGGGCGATATCTAGAAGTCGTCCTTCATGGTGTTCGGCTACGCAGTCCGCCATAGCACCAGTAACATCACGCGAGCCTGAACTTTTACGGTCCATTGGAGAAACCATGAACTTTAACTGGTCCTCAAACGGCAGTCCTTTGACAGTGTCGATAATCTCGGCGTTCTCCAACTGACTGCTAGGGTCACACAAGAAGAACAAAGGGTTGACCTTGGCAATGTCCAGGACCCGCTTGATCAGATATTCGAAAGGTACACCTGGTGGGAAATAGGCGGCGAATTTCCGGAAAACAGATTCTGGAGGGAAGATGCCCGCCGCACTCAGCGGTGGGGGCTCCAACTTCAAAGCCTGTTGGATATATGGAAGGTCAACCTCTTCGAGACAGGAGATCAGGCCCACGTTAGGCTCCTCACTTGTGCTTTCCGTGGCATTGGCTGGACGATATCGACCAGCACGCCCGCCAATTTGTTTGATCTCAGGAACAGTAAGCCGTTGAAGTCCAGTCGGGACACGCTTGACGAGAGTGTCAAAGATAACACGCTTGCAGCTCCTATCGTGGGTTAGTATGGTAGCGTAAATATAACCAGGGAGCACAGAACTTACAGATTAAGACCCATGCCAATCGCGTCACTTGCTACGAGGAAGTCATAGTCATTGTCTGGGTCGTTGAACAGATTGGCCTGTTGGGTCCGAATCTCCGCCGGCAGACCACCATAAACGATGGCTGCGCGTCTTCCGGTGGTCTTTTCAATGTCTGCCTTCATAGCGTGTATACCTTTCCGAGAAAATACGACTACACAGTCGCCTTTTTCAAGGCTATTGAGATTACCCTTTAGACTATGTGGCATCACTTCCAGGGCGTTCAGGCGTTCGTAGCGGTGGACCTCCAAAGTATCTCCCGTGAGTGCACATAGCTCCCGAATCAATGGTATAGCGCGGGTTTCGCCGCACAGGTGCAGTTCGGTGGCCTGAGCACCAAGGAAGGCTCGAGTCCATGCCCATCCTCTTGATGAGTTCGCAATCATTTGGATTTCATCGATCACGCCAACATCGTATTCCTGCCCCAGGCTGACCATTTCCACAGTATTACTGGTAATACGCGGTACTTGATCATCCTCGGGAAATTTGACGTCGTCACCAGTGACTAAACTGCATGGAACCCCATCTGCCTTGAATCGATGATATACTTCTTGTGCGAGCAATCTCAGCGGACCTGCGTAAAACCCGTTCTTGCTTTTCGCCAGTCGTTGCAGCGCATGGTAGGTCTTTCCGGAATTCGTCGGCCCGACATGGAGATGGATTGTTCGCTGCATCGATCGTGCGCGCGGATACCACTCGGCTGGCCACCGAAGGTCGGCCACTTCTTGCTGTGCTTCCAGGATGGGTGCCGAAAACCTGGCAGTGATGTTTTCCGAATACTGCATGTATTCCACCTCCTCCCGCAGACCCTGAAGTCCGGATGCCAGGTAGGCTTTTTGCAGCGCTACCTTGATATGCCGAAGGGGTCCCCATTGTGCAGAGGCTTTCTTATCATCTGATTTGCAGGCGTTTTTGATTTGGCGCTCAAATTGGGTCCATCCTTCTAGCGATTCGCCTGATTTGTTCAACTTGCTGTATACATCGCGTAGGGTTGCTTCCACGAGTTCGTTGAAATCTCGTGCGGCCGCAATATCCTGTCGGATGGATCTCCCGGCGGGATTCCCCACAAGTGTTTTGCCCTTTTTTGTGTCCGCTTTCCTGTCCGGCGATGTTTTGACCTTTTTCGAGCGCTGCAGAATCGAGGTTGTGGTGAAGGGCCGTACAGCAAAACGAGTCAAGGGCCGCAAAGCATAGAGGGAACGACTACCGCTAGTCCATGGCTGCATTCCTGGACGACGGGGACTCCAATCCCGTAGAGAGGAACAATTTGGGAACAAAGAAGGCCGAACAGTTGAACCGAAGCCAAAAAAGAGAAAGGTAGAGAGGATAAAGAACAAGAACCTGCATAGGAGAAACCAAAAAGTTCCCTTATCGAGCCGATCCACTTTCAAGCTCCAATGGTGGGGAAAACCATCTTCCCTTCATATACCTCAGACGGCCACCTGACACTCCTCTCTTCCCCTTTAACTGAACATCTCGTCAATCTCCTTTACTATTGCCTATCTTTTTTCTCTTTTTCTTTATTTTTTGTCCTAATCCTCATTCTGAAGCCCCAGGGCTGCCCGCCAGCATGGGCTCCTCGATAATTAACATTCAACGCGACTGTGGGTGACTACTTCTACTACCTCTTGCAAAGAACCTTGGCTGACCTTGAACTGTCTGGAATAGTTATACTGAACACAATCCGCAATTCCGGTGGCGATGAGGTGAGCCCACCCCCCCTCCCCCGATCAACCCCTCTACCGCGGATATTGACGGCATTCTCCCCCTAATAGTGGAAAGTCTTGGTGGTAGATGAGACCAGCAAGAAATTGGTCTACGGTGCTGTGAAGGAGGAGGAAATTCTCAATCTCAATGTCTCCAGTGAGCTCGTCTTGTGCTTTGCGACCCAAACGATGTCACTAATGCCACACCGCAGACGTCGAGCAGCTCGAACATCGACGACCGTCCAATCCCGATATGGACGCGTTGTACATATTGTCCCCGGAATCGTACGTGGTCGACTGTCTGATGGCAGACTTCGAGGTGGGCCGATACAGAAAGGCATTCTTGGTGTGGACTTCATGTTAGTGGGCTGGTGAACCCGAGGCCTTTGCGACGTCATTCCGCTCACACAGCCTATAGCCCTCGATCCGCAGCAGCGAGCTCGGATTGACCGGTCCCAAATAGCGCGCGAGCGCATTGCGGACTTCTACACTATGAACATCAATTTCTACCCCAGAGAATCGCATTTGATCACATTCCGGGATCCGTGGAGCTTCCCAGTGCTCTTCCACCCGAGTTGCAACAATTTGATTCGGGGTCATTTGGAAGAATTGGCTCAAAAGGTAAGATGCTATCCGTGTATGCCAATTGGGCTTGCTGACGTTGAATCGAGGTGGTATCTCTTTGCGCTTCTTTAGGCGAATACCCTATAATTCGGTACTATCGGCCCCGATCTCCGACTCACGAGGCTGGAGTTATGTGTTCTCACTTGGCGCGTTTCATTCAGAACGAATTGGATCAGTTCGCGCAGCATCAGCGTGACTTTCCGCCTCAAACAAACCGCCCCCGAGGCGTACTGCTCGTAGTAGACCGTTCCATGGACCTGTTCGCGCCCCTCATTCACGAGTTTACATACCAGGCTATGGTCCATGATCTTCTTCCTGTCACGGATGGAGACAAGGTTACCTACAAAACGGTTTTGAACCAGGGAAACCAAAATGAGGAGGTCAAGGAGATGGAAATTGGCGAGCATGATCGAGTCTGGGTGACCTACCGCCATATGCATATGAAGGATGTGCTTGGGAAACTGGGCGAGGACTTTGCCAAATTCCGAGCAGCGCACCCTCAGTTTGCAGACGAGTGAGTTTCAACGGGCCATCCCTATACACGGACCACTAACTTGAGATTTTAGTAACGACAAGTCTAATGTGAACACCATCAAGGATATGTTGGGCGGACTGACAGAGTTCCAAGAGGGTAAAAGTGCCTACACGCTGCACCTCAACATGGCACAAGAGTGTATGAACTACTTCCAGTCCCGCAAACTCTTGGAAGTGAGCTCCACCGAGCAGTCATTCGCCACGGGCCTGGATGAGAACTACAAAAAGGCAAAGAACCTAGCAGGGCAACTCGTGCAGCTCCTCGATGACGACTCAGTCGTACAACCAGATCGGCTTCGACTCATACTTTTGTACATCATGTATCGCGGCGGATTGTTAGGTGGTGACATTCGCAAACTCATGGCGCATGCTGGACTCCCGCCAAAAGACGGCGGGGTGATTGCCAACCTCGAACTCCTTGGAGTTCGTATCGAGAAGCCTCTCAAGGATGAAAAGCCACCAGTGCAGCCCCTTTTCACCCGACGAAACCCACCACCCGAATCAGAGGAGCTCAGCCTGAGCCGGTATGAGTTAGCTATCAAGCAGATGCTTGAAGATCAGATTCAGGGCAATCTGGACGCGACTACCTTCCCCTTCACACGTCCACACACCGAGACTGACGGCGCCATAGCTGCCCAGGAAATACAGTCACAGCAGGCCTCTTTGCGCAGCGCAAAACCCACCTGGGCGCGCACAAGATCCGTCGACCAGCCTCGACAACGCATAATCGTCTTCATGGCCGGTGGTGCTACCTACGGCGAGTCACGAGCTTGTTATGAAGTCTCAGCGGCATACAACCGGGACGTCTACCTTGCCACGACGCACATGCTGACCCCAGGTCTCTTCCTCCGCCAGGTAGGCGACCTTGGTGTTGACCGGCGTCGTCTCGACCTCCCATCCGAGCGCCCCAAACCTACTGCCCCGGCCCATCTCTTCGAGCGCGAGGCTCCCCCAGCCCCCAATCCGCCGCCACAGAAGAAGCCTGTGTCAACGGCACACCTCAACCCCCCAGCTCCGCCAGAGGCGCTGATGGCTGGTATGTCTCTAAACGGAAGCAGAAGCAGCCCTGCCTCATCTGGCAGCGGGAAGCCTGACAAGAAAGATAAGGACAAGAAGGAGAAAGAGAAAAAGGAGAAGAAGGAGAAAAAATACCGTTTCTTCAAGTAGCCTTCTCCATTCTCCATTCCTCTTGATTCCACCCTGTTTCTTGTGTCCTGCTGCATTCAGCGCTTTTGTGATACCATTCTGTTCCTTGTCTTTCTGTTGGTCAGGTCTGGTCCCGAGCATTCAAGGCGCTATTCTCAGCGGTTTTTTATTTCTCTCCTAAGATGAGTCCTATAAGACTTAACATGGGAATGTTTTCACTACACTCCAATTTATGCTAGGTAGAATCTGGACACAGTTTCAAGTTGCACTACCTAGTACACGGTAATTATTCAAGTCAAGCCTTAGACAGAAACAAACATTGCATCTCATTCAAAACTGATATCCACGTAAAACCACAACAGTACAACTAGAATATCAGGACCTGTGGGATTGACGCCAAAAATGACCTAAGGCCAGAAACGACTAGGGCGAATCAATTTAGTTCTTGATAACATCACTTTTAATAGCCTAGATCAACTCAGGCTCTAGACAATACAAATTTCCGGGATATTCCTCCTTCTAAAGAGACTTCTATAGAGAAAGAGCAACTGTCGTCCTCGAACAATCGATGATTCCAGCGGTAGTCACATATATCATGTCAACAGCTGGGGCCGAAATCTATTAAAAGGCACACCACGTCCACAAGCATATGGAAGCCTGTGGATTACAGATCACTAGCTAGCTTAGAAAATATCCTGATCTGGGCCGATGCATACACTTCGGCGATATCGCCCAACTTTGTCGTGTGTCAAGAAAATATATTTCCGCAGATAATGCCGCGGGCTTTTGTTCTCGGCAATATCGCCATGCTGAAACTCCGATTGCGAATGTCCGAGATGAACTATATAACCAATAACTGTGCGCACGATTTGTATACTTACTTAGTAAAGACAGTTCAAGCATGAAAACTAGTTGGTTTTGCTCCGTCTATATCTTGAATCTTAACACTTGCTTCCCTGTTCTTCCTGTCGTTCCCAACATGGCTGTCGTTCCCGAGGCCACTGTCTCCAACAATGAGATCCCTCAGCAAGTCAAGAATTCACAGGCATCCTCTCGACGCATGTCCTGGATCCAATATCTTTTCTTCCACGCACGCCTCAACGACAATGTCTGCAACCAGAATTACACTGGTAAAGGTACAGAAGATGACCCATACATTATCGATTACCTGCACAATGACCACCAAGACGCCATGAATTTTTCCAATGGGCGAAAATGGGCCATCTCCATTCTCCAGTCTCTATCCACGTTTGTGGTGACCTTTTCCAGCTCGGTGTATGTGAGCGGCATCGGAGGCATCGAGCAGCAATTTAACGTGTCGGAGGAGGTGGCCACGCTGGGCTTGTCGCTCTTCGTGTTAGGGTTCGCTGTAGGACCGCTGATATGGGCGCCTCTTTCGGAGATGTATGGCCGCAAGTCCATCTATGTGATTTCGTTCATGGCGTACACGGCGTTCAGCGTGGCGGCGGCCTGCTCTCCCAATATCGCGGCCTTGCTGGTTCTTCGCTTCTTCGCTAGCGCATTTGGTTCGTCGTCGATGACCAATACCGGGGGTGTCATTGCCGACATGTTTAGCAAGACACAGCGCGGAGTCGCAACGGGATTTTTTGTCACAGCTCCTTTTCTGGGACCTGCGCTTGGTAAGTGGTGGAAGATGCCCTTCTTACATGTTGCCATTTCCTGCCATTTCTGCCCTGATACACTTGAAACTTACTAAATTGTTTCTCATTTTAGGGCCCCTTGCCGGTGGTTTTCTTGCTGAGAAACAGGGTTGGCGCTGGCCTCTCGGGTTAATCGCTATAATGGCAGGCGTGGTCTCGATTATCACGATGCTGATCACCCCCGAAACATACGCACCGTTAATTCTCCAACGTCGAGCCGAAGCCCTTTCCCGGGTGACAGGACGAGTATATGTGTCTAGGATCAATGCGGGAAAGCCGCCCAAGACCTTCTCGCAGGAGCTATTGATCTCTCTCACGCGCCCCTGGATCTTGTTGTTCCGCGAGCCCATTGTCTTGCTGACGTCGCTGTACGTCGCCATCATCTATGGCACACTTTACATGTTTTTTGCCGGGTTTCCTATCGTCTTCCAATATACTCGAGGCTGGAGCCAGGGCATCGCCGGACTTCCGTTTATCGGCGTCGCCATTGGCGTCTGTCTTGCCACGCTGGCGGCCGGCGTAGACAACAAACGCTATGTGCGTCTTTGCAAGGAGATCGACGCAGGAGGAGGCACAGTCGAGCCAGAAGCCAGACTGAGTACGGCTATGGTAGGCTCTTTCGTGGTTCCGATTGGATTGTTCATGTTTGCCTGGACGACGTATCCATCGGTGCACTGGATTGTACCCATTATCGGTGCCGTGTTCTTCTCGTGCGGACTCGTCATGGTCTTCATCTCGCTGATGAGCTACCTGATCGACTCTTGTAAGTTTTGATCGTTACTCCGTGACCTTATGCAACAATGCACTTGCTCACCTGCGTAAAGATACCGTCTATGCTGCTTCTGTTATGGCAGCCAACTCAGTGGTTCGGTCCTTGTTCGGCACTGCGTTTCCGTTGTTTACCACCCAAATGTACGAGAAGCTCGGAAATCAATGGGCGAGCTCCATTCCTGCATTCCTAGTTCTTGCGTGCGTGCCTTTCCCGTTTCTTTTCTACAAGTACGGCCCGCAGATACGCAGCAAGTGCAAGTATTCCCTCGAAGCAGCTAAGGTGCTGGAGACGATGAGCCGTCGGCAAGGCGCCATGATTGTAGGTGAGCCAAATGGGCTAGAGAGTAAGGTTGAAGAGACTGTTTAGATCACATTAAATAGCGGGGGATCTGCTACGCCCCCAAATCAGCTTGGATGGCAACATAAACTTAATTGTACAGCAGGATTATTTCAATAAATCTATAATGTAGCATAGAAACTCCTTACATGTACGAAGCGGCCGGGAACCGGGAATATAAATGGGGGGCCTCCATGGCTGAATTCAAGGATTATGTGAGTCCCCGATCGGACCGGAACTTGAATCACCGAGCCTCGAAAGACTTAAAACAAAGCTTACCCCGTCCGTGCAATTCCGAGGCTGCAACAAACACACTTCTCCCGGATGAATCCTTCTGGGGCCAAGCCAACCGCGGTGTCCGGACAAGCCGGAAAGCGTGCCCTCAAAGCCAATAAGGCATGTGTGCCCTGCCGTGCACGCAAGACCAAATGCGATGCCGCCGAGATTGGCCTCCCCTGCAGCTGTTGTACCAGCAGGCAGTGTGTCAAGGACTGTGTACTACCGGTCCGTAAGGGTCGTGCTAGGTGAGTTGATTAATGATAGGATGGCTCATGGTTTATCCTAGTAGCTTTTAGGCGCGTGCTAACTTGGATGGGCTCCAAGGAAATTAAACCATGTTTCACCGATCCCTGATCATGTACGAGTATGTTTTAGATGATTGACAGTGTTCCAATTCAAAATCTCAATCGATCTAATCGATCTAATCAATCTAATCACTCGAACAGTCGGCCCAGCCTTCGACTTCCGATCTGGATGGCCAAAGCCCACGTCAGGCTGAGCTAGATCTGTTCTATCTCAATATCTTAAACGACGCCGGGGAAAAGACTACACAATCTAGTCGACACCACCCCATTTTCAGCACTCCCTACCGCCCAAGCCCGGAATATAGTTTTAGTACTCGGAATTGTCGATGGGCCAAGCAACCTCAATTGGACGACATTGACAACGAATTTCTTGCCAAGAAGGGGGTATTTGATCTACCTCCTTCACGCTACCTGTGAGACCAAGCTTATAATCCTCCATCTTATTCGGGGTTTCGCATTTGCCTCTACTCACTGACAAATCATAACAGAGATTCCCTCGTTAAGACATACTTTGACCACGTCTACCCCTTTGCTCCGGTGATCAATAGAGTTGATTTTATCCGCGGCTATCAATCTGGCCACTGCTCATTGTTCTTGCTATACGTCATATTGGCACCGGCCAGTGTCCATGCGCCAGCAGACGTGCTATCCGCCTGCGGCTTTGCTAGCCGCTCGGCCGCGCAAGAGTTGTTTTTTTCCAAGGCCAAGCTGCTTCACGACTTTTCCGCTGAAGATGACCCATTGTTGATGCTGCAGGGATCCATCATCTTGTGCATGGTGATTCTCGACCACCCTACCGACCGAGACTTTGGCTACTGGTTCCACAACGCAATCCGTCTTGCCACTAAGCTTGACATACGCAACGTGTACGTTTCCTACTCCTGGACTATAGCACCTGGAATGAGTATTGCGGGTATTAACTGCCTACGGATTTTTCCACAGGTGTGCTCGAGAAGACAAAGCTGGTACAGTCTTCAAGTTGTATAGAAGGATCTGGTGGGCTCTCTACGTACGTCCTTCTTCTCGTCACTATGTTCTGTTCTTCCTGCATTATGTTTACTGTAGCTACGTAGACTTTAGACATTTTTCATGTCTCTGTCAATACTAGACGCTCGCGACTACTCGCGACTACCTCCACGATCAGACTGAGGACGGAAGATGACTGGGAAGTGGAGATTAGCTCGGAAGTATCATCTGACTTGCTATCACCAGTCACGCCTCAACAAAGGGCCTTGCCTGTTGTTCAATGCGAGTTGTCTCGAATATGTAGGTGCTGGTTTTATTCGATTCTTTGTTGTTACGCTCTATCCTTCTTATCATCAACCCATAACTGAAACCACAAGCATGGCTGACTCTTATTTAGTCGGACAGTGTTTGTCCAACGTGACAACCAAGCCACAGCAAGATCCCCGCCAGATGTTTCACTCGCTTGATTCATGGCGCAAATCACTCCCTGTCAAGATGCATATGAATGAGAACATTGGAACCGATGTGTACTATCTGGCTATGCAAGCCATGGGCTACAGATTTGAATGCATCTTGTGTCGATTGATACGACGTTGTTGGCAGCAGACCCATCATGCGGACTGGAGCGAGTGGGTCAAACAGCGGCTTCGGTCTGCTATTTTGGAGTTGGACACAATTACCAAAAGGGTTCTGGCGAGTGGTACCCTCCAGGACTTTCCCATATCTTTGTATGTGCCGTCCATTCTCTTTTCCCCATTTCCCGATCTACAGAGCGCAAAAATATGGATATCTAACGATAGACTTACCAGTATAACCACAATAATTGCACTGCTCGCTCTACACATCGAATCGGCCCTCGATACAGCCGAGACAGATCTTGTTCGTTCGATGGCCCAAATCTCTATTAGCCAGACAATGCTTGTTCTCACACAGGGAAAAGAAATACCAGCCCTGAAACGAGCCCTGCCATTATTCGAGGAGATTCTTGCCAAGAAAAATCTGTACTTGATTCCACCCAACAGTGTCGGTCAAGTACAAGATAACACCATGGTGGATGCAGACGCTTCGCTGCATACACAGGTAGAGCAGTATGAGAATAATCCGTTGCTCTATGATGATTTTCTAGGATTTGATTTATTGGATGAATGGCAGATTGGGCAAATGGATTTTACTGGCAGTGGTTAATTCGGCATGGTTTCCCAAGGAACGCATGTCATTTTTGGGCTATCTCTAGTTCTATCTCTATGTATCTCGTTTCCTAAGTTGTACCGGGACTGGAGGCAGGTGCCTCAATTGCTTCCTATTGCTGTATAATTAATATAGAGGCTTCTGAGACTGAGAGAGCTTCTTCGGCGGGTATCTGCCTCCGGGATCTAGTGCTTCTGCTTCTTATTGGCGGTGCGTAATTCGCTTACTTCTTTCTCGAGAAAAGCGGCGGATTGTATAGTGATCTAGTAGGCTTTGAAAACCTAGTTGATCGCTCAATTAAGCGGGCTCGGAGGGCTTCTTGATTTTATATAAAGTAACGCTTTGATTGACAAAGCTTACTTTTGTAATTGAATATAGTTTGACAGCGTTTTTGGGTTCTAATCGCTACCCATTTAAAGAATAACAAATAACAATAGGGGTATCATCAAGCACAAAAAACAAACAAAATGAGGGTATCCAACTCTCCTCCATCCATAAAATCCACGACCTAAATCCCCTCCCCAAGATAGTGTAAAACCTCATCACTCTGATAAAAAGCCTTCCTCAGCCTTTCCGCCCTCTTCTTATCTTCCGCGGCTTTATTCCGCGCCTGTTTGGAATTAAGCTTCTGCACCTTCACCGGCGGCGCCGGTCTAGGCGGCAGCGGATCTCCATCCTGATCAAGCCCAGTTCCCAACCCAGCCGTACCATGCTTGACGCGAGGTTTGATAGGTTCACGAATACCCTCACGACCCGAAGCGCCGAGCCCAAGCCTACTATCAGGATCCCAACCGTATGTAGAGAGATATCGGAGACCTGTGCGCGTGCGGTCGAGGTGCGATGGCGGGTGAGAGTGAGCGAGGCAGATTTGATGCGCGAGGGAGGCTTCGTGCGGGCGAAGTTTTTGGTCTGTTGTGTCCGCTGGGGCTTGTGGTGGGAGAGGTAGCTGGCACACGTCACAGTATTCTTGGGCCGCGGGCGCCACTGTGGATGGAGGCGGGAATATGTCTGAAGTTGGCGGTGCGGACTGCGTACGAATTGGTGGTGATTCTGCGCGCTGAGTTGGTGTATGTGTTGATGTACTTGGGGCTGATTGGCCCATCACAATAGAGAGGTATGTGTCTGCGATGCTAGTCCCGGAGAGAGAGGGAGTTGGGGCTGTTGTGGTGTCTAGATTGGACGAGCGCACGAACTGCACGCGTTTGCGGCGGATTCCGGAGCTGAAGGGGCGCTGCTGCTCCGGTGGGAGGAAATAGTCTTCGTCCTCAGAGGCCATGGTTGGTACTTGTAGAGCTGTCAAGGCAAAGAAAGAAGGAAGAAAGAGGGTTGAGGGGCGGAGCGGAATTAGAGGGTGGCGATAAGGAATAAGATAAGCGGAGATACGTGTACATTGGAGAAATCCCTTAGGAGACACACACCTGTCCTCTCTCTTCCCATCTTCATTTCTCAATTAATTATGCCCATCCCTATCATTGCCCAGGGCCTGCGGGATGGTGTCTCATCCATCCCGTATGCTTGGACAATCCTCCGCATAGCACCATGGGTGCTAGCCCTCGCGGCGCTGAAATACTATTTTGAAGGAGCCCGCAACAGCTCCGAGCGAATGATGCGATCAAAAGTGATAATGGTAACGGTAAGAACACCCCTCCAGCACCACATCACTACCCAATCAACCAAGCTGACAAAAACCAAATCCAGGGGGGCACCTCCGGGATAGGCGCAGAAGTAGTCCGCGGGCTCGCAACTCGCGGCGCCCAAGTAATCCTCCTAACCCGCCAACCACCCTCCGACCTCTATCTCTCCGAATATATCGACGACCTCCGCACCAGCACAAAAAACCCTCTCATCTACGCCGAACAAGTCGACCTCTCCTCCCTGCACTCAATCCGCCTCTTCGCAACAAAATGGATCGACAACATCCCACCCCGTCGACTAGACTGCATAATCCTCGCCGGCGGAACAGCCGAGCCCTCCAAACCCCGAGCCCTAACAATAGACGGCATTGACCTAGAATGGCAAACAAACTACCTCGCAAACTTCCACCTCCTTAGCATCCTCAGCCCAGCCCTCCGCGCGCAGCCCGCACACCGCGACGTGCGCGTCATCTTCGCAACATGCTCCGGCTATATCGGCGGTGACTTGAAAAATCTGGACTCCATGGCGCGCGGGAAGCAGAAGGTGGTATCGAAGCGCACGAAGACGTCTCCGGCGCTGTACGCGCAGCCCAAGGGCGTGTACGCGCTCAGCAAGCTTGCGCTGAATATCTTCGCGCACTCGTTCCAGCGGCATTTGAATGCTTACGAGAGGCCGGATAGTCTGCCGCCGTGTACGCGGGTCATCGTTGTTGACCCTGGGGTGACGCGGACTCCGGGCATGCGGCGCTGGTTGACTGGTGGGTCGTTGTGGGGTCTTTGGCTGTACTTGCTCACTTGGCCTCTCTGGTGGCTGCTGCTCAAGTCGCCTGTTCAGGGTGCGCAGAGTATTCTGTATGCGGCGATGGAGCAGCAGTATGGGCGGGGTGTGGGTGGGTGGTTCATTAAGGAGTGTCGGGAGATGGATTATGCGCGGGTGGATGTGCGCAATGATGAGGTTGGGAAGAAGCTATGGGTTTTCAGTGAGAAGATGGTCGAGGAGGCGGAGAAGCAGAGTGCTGTTATAAGGGCTTTTGAGAAGAAGGAAGCTGAGGTTGAGAAGCAGAAGGCTGAGGCTGAGAAGGCGAAGAAGGAGGCGGCCGAGAAGAAGGGGAAGAAGGCTGATGGGTCGAGGAGGAGTCGCAAAGCTCAGAAATGAGTGAGATATGTGTATACCTGTTTTATAGGTATGGTGTGATATATAGACGGAGTTAAGGGCTACATTCTACCGTGAACAGAGAATAGGCTCAAATTTATAGACCAATCATCACAAAAAGGAAATTCGTTTCATGTATACTAACAACAAGATCCACGACTTCTATATCAACAAAGACAAGATCATTACAAACCACAATTCACGTGTGCTACATCAGTACCCGAACTAAATTCACTTCTTAAGCTGAGCGAGCAGCTCAGCAGGGGGCTCCTGGCGGTAACCCTCGGGGTTGTTCTTAGTCCAGAGCCAGAGATCCTCGCAAGCCTGCTCGAGGGTACGTTCAGCCTTCCAGCCAAGCTCGGTGTGGGCGCGGGTGGGGTTGGCAGTGAGGTTGAGGACATCGCCAGCGCGACGGGGGGCAACCTCGTAGGGCTGGTCCTTTCCGACAGCGGTGGAGAAGGCGCGGATCATCTCGTAGACAGTGCTGCCCTTGCCGGTACCCAAGTTCCAAGCGCGCACACCGGGGTTGTTGGCACGCAGGTATTTCAGGGCCTTGAGGTGGCCATCTGCGAGATCTAGGATGTGAATGTAATCGCGGATGGCGGTACCGTCGTGCGAGGCGTAGTCTATGATGGTGTTAGATCAGGGAGTGTCAATAATGGGAAGAAGGGGCTTGCATACCATCACCAAAGACCATCAACTTCTCGCGCTTGCCAGTAGCGACCTGGGCAAGCAGGGGGAGCAGGTTGTAGGGGACACCCTGGGGGTCCTCGCCCATAATACCGCTGGGATGAGCACCGGCAGGGTTGAAGTAGCGGAGCAGAGCACCGTTCCACTTCTTGGCCTCAGCCTCGTTACCTGCCTTGGTGGCATTGTTGCGCTGGGCGTTGATCGCGTCGGTGATGGCGGTCTCGACGGCGAACTTGGTGTTGCCGTAGGGGTTGGTAGGGCCTAGAGGGCAGTCCTCAGGGATGGGGATCATGTTGGGGAAGCGGGTGGCATCGCCGTAGACGGTGGCGGAGCTGGAGAAGACAATGTTGGTAACATTGTGCTTCACCATGGAGCGCAGGAGGTTGATGGTGCCGTAGACGTTGACCAGCCAGTAGTCCAGGGGCTTCTCGCCAGACTCGCCAACGGCCTGGATAAAGACAATTGGATCAGCTACTGGATCGAAGGGTATACGATTTATGCTTTCTTAATTCATCGGGTACACACCTTCAGGGCAGCGAAGTGGATAACGCTGTCAATGTCGGGGTGAGCTTCGAACACTTGGTCGAAGCTGTTCTCCACGGTGACATCGAGCTTGATGAACTCGGCCTTCTTGCCGCAGATCAGCTCAATACGGTGGAGGGCCTCGACTGAAGAGTTGTACAGGTTGTCGGCAACGACGACCTTGTAGCCAGCCTCAAGGAGGGCCAGGGTGGTGAACGAGCCAATGTAGCCCGTGCCACTTGCGGGGAATTAGCTCACTATAAGATCCCAAATAGGTAATTCAACCACTTACCCAGCAACAAGAACAGAACCAGCAGACATGATTAAATTCCGTGTAATAATTGATGGTAGGGAGATGGGGAAGAGTACGGGGAGAGTACGGAGTAGAATGCGGACGAGGGGCAGCTTTTTAAGGGGAAATTGAAGGGCGGGATGGCCCTCACCACGTGGATCTGCGATGATGCGGCCTGGTGGTTTGATATTCATCTTGTTTTACATTTATTTACATTTTCGCCCACTGATCTACATGTTTGCACCTCTAATTTCCCTTTCGCTTCCAAGTGAGGTTATCATTGTTGACGCGAACATTATGTACATCAAGTATGTGTAATGATGGCGAGCGTGGCGGTGAAAACAGCCCTGAGTCTCGAAACGGGCAAGGATATGCAAGGATATGCAAAGCCGGGCAGAGATGTGGGAAGATGCAAAGAGAAGATCCCTGGAAAATCCCCGAAATTTCCCTGAAACTCCCGGATTGCCTGCAAACAACGTCGGCTCAACCCTGCCGAATAGGGACATATGCAAGGGGCAGTCCGTTCCCGGGGAACTCTCGGCAAAATCTTATTTACTGTGTTCATTAAATATAGAACATTGAAGTGAAATTGGTATTGGGGAAAAAAGTAAAATAAACCGGGTTCAGGCACATTAATGCAACCTGATTTTTGCCAGGGCCCCGGATTCCCTGGAGATGTGGTAGATAGTGTGTTGCATTTCAGCAACATTGCCCCGTGAGACCATCGAGTAATCAATGCCTCGGGGCCTCGGGGCTCATGCTCATTCATCCAAGTCTGGACGAGCTGGCACAGAAGTGGTGTCTAACATGCCAAGGGTATATACCCATGGAGGCTCAGAAATAGAATAGCCTTTCTAACCCAGGAGCTCAACGTCCAGACCAATAGCCCGCATGAAGAGGTTGACGTTGTTCAGACGTTGACTGCCCATATCGGCAGGAAGGGTCTTGCTGTATCCCACTGTTTCCATGACACGGTCCCTGTAACAAATGGATTAGCATTGTTCCTCTGCACTAGGATCGAAACGGAAACACTCACTTAACGGCAATAACCAGGCGCTGCTGCTGCTCAGGACTGGCGCCAATGCCCACGGCAGCAAGGAACTGCCACACATACATATCGTCGCCGGAGCTAATCGATCCAGGGAAAATGTCATTTAATCCGAGTTCTAAAGTGTCAAACAGCACGTTGAACTTCTCGACCCACTGCTGCCAATCATGCTCGGAAGCCTGACCGGCCTCCTTGACGATCTCGGCACGACTGAGCAACATGGTCAAGATCCCCAAGCCAACCTTGGTGCGAGCCACAGTCTGCACGTGGGTTTGGTTGATGACCAATCCCAAAAGACCAATAATGATGTTGAATGGCGCCTCGTTCACGTATCCCAAAAGACAGGGCATGACAGCCAGTGAGAACAGGTCAATGGCCTCGCGCACACCGAGTGGTGGCTGGGCCTCGCCCGGCACAGGTTGAGCAAGACGTACCACATCCAGGCTATCCAGGTGGACGACAATCATGGTGAGGATAGTGACACGCTGTTCCTGATCAATGTGACGGAAGATGCGAGGAATGGCCTTCTTGCCCTTGGGGTATGACAAGAATGCGATAAAGGGGTGTGGTGTCGTCGAGTTGGGCACAATGGGTTCCATCACCTTCAATGACCGCCACAACTTCTGATTAAGCGAATGAAGCTTCTGTCTCCATTCCATGTGTTCCTGGATTGCCTCGGCATCGCCTTCCTCGGGGGGTGGCGGCATCGTGCGCTCCATATCTTCCATTGCCATCAATGCACTGTAAACACCTTCGAGATTCGTAAGGATCGACTTGCGATCGCTGAGACTCAGATCCGACTGCTTCTTGGGCTTAGGTCCCTCCGAGCTAGCAGGGCGCTTAATGTTGAGCATAGGCTTAGGCGCCTTGGCATTGCTAAATGAGATCTTGCCCAAGCTGCCCTCGATGATGAGCTGCTTATTCTTGGGCTTGGCCT